TGGAATCAGACGATTGTTGGAAGGCAAGGTTGGCCCCTTCCTTTAGGTTCTTTAGCGCCTCAATGAAGAGGACTTTTAACAATAACAATGGTGGAATAAATAAAGGAGACAATGGAAAATATCCAAGCATTCACTCATCCCAAACATACTTACAAAATAAACTTTGGAGGAGACATTGAAGTCCTAGTGTCCAGATTTATTTCATAAATAGGAATCCTTATACAAGAACAAGAATTTGATGCTATCCTTATACAAGAACAAGAATTTGATGCTAACACTAACAGTAAATTACTCCAATGGAAAGAAGTACAAAGAAATACAGCAAGTAAAGACTACATTTTAATAAAGAAAATACAGAATTTGTTTGGTCGGGGACCTCTTGCAACGTCTTTTCCAGCGTCTTATGTAAACATCCCAAAGCGGTTGAAGGAAGTTATTTAGCAGTTGGAGCCTTCACATGGTTTAAATTCAAATCTCCACTATTTGAATTTAAATTGAACCAAAATTGTTCATACTTACCATTTTTTTCATTAGCATCATCTAACAAACGGGTGCCTTCGCAAGTCACTTCACACATACCACTTTCTTTTAAATTGGCAATTGTATATGTCTTTACGTGGGAGTATAAAAGTAGTAAACTTCAACTTTTATTTCCTTTTTGAATAATAAAATAATTTTCCTTATCAAATGGCCCATGCCGTGTTGTCAAATTAAAAAAATATAGATATTTTAGGGTGCAAACACAGGTAGGGGTACACAAAAATCCGGTCGAATCGAAAATTCAAACAGGACCGAACTAGATCGGACAGTTTGATTTGGTTTACTAACGGTTTGGTTTGGCTTTGTACCCTTTATTGTTTTGGGCATAGGCTAATAGTTAGGGGTGACTCACGTATCTTTGCATCACAAGAACCTGTATATTTTTTATTTTACCTTTTTATAGCATATTGGTGATAACTTCAATAAACTATCAAATAGGTATTTTTTTCTCCTAGTTGGCACTCACACACACATACCTCCTTTAAAAAGTAAAGACCTGATACCGCTAGACCACTGACTCGTTGATTAGCAAATGAATAATTATATTACATTTATCATTTAAATTGATTTTAAATTGATAGAAAACTGAGATTACCACCACCAGATTTGGAGGATTATTCCCCATCACAAATGTAAGTGGTGGGTCTCAATCAATTTGTCTTTTTTTAATTAACAGTGCTATGAAATATGAATCAGAATGCAGTGACATGTTATTGATTTCTTTATCCATAAGAATATTTAGCAATATCCTGTAACACAGTGGCGATTCCCTCTTGGTTGATGCAAAATCTTGTAATATTGCATCACATTATAGGTGGTACTACTCAGTATGTTACACGTTCGAAGCAGAAAAGATAAATCGTCTTAAATTAGGAGGTTAAAAAAATTAACTCATCTTTACTATTAGTAGTTTTGAATGTGTTCACTTCATAAGTGACATTAAATAATAAATTAAAAGTTCTGAATATATTAGTAATTTTAAATGTATTCACTTATGAGTTAAATTAGTTTATTGTTATGCATTTAAATTTTGAAATATTAATATTTTTGAAAAAAAAAAAAAATTAAAAAGGAATCGTGAAACCAAACCGAACTAAAATCGATTTCTTTTAGTTTAGTTTGGTTCGGTTTCTCTGGTCAAATGGTTCGATTTGATTCCAAGTTTTTTAAGACATTTAGAAATGATTTGGTTAAAAAAAAAAAAAAACTTTCAAACAGTTCAAGTCAAACTGTGTGCATCCCTAAGCACAAAGTATATGAGTTTCACATAGAAATACCAAGTTACCCCTCTATAGGAAAACTATCGGTAAGGTATACAACTTGTAAAGCAGCCTGTAGTAATATCTGAAAGACCTGAATTATGTGCGTTGTGACACAATGCAGTACACCAGGCATGTATGAAATGGTCACTCATATGTGTAAAATTACTGAGGTGTCCCTAAGAAGGACTATGACCAGAATGTATATAATAAACCAGAATAAAATAGAATTTTCCTGTGACATGAATTCTTAGATACAATCAACAGCCTTGCAATGGACTGATACACACTGGAAAGTACCATTCTACCCTTGTTCATATAAGAGATGGAAAGACATATCAGAGTAGCGCCTGTGAGCATGCTTTTAACAATTTCATCCTGTTAGAAGATATGATATATAGTGTGCCTTCTCAAATGACTTTTAAAGGTCTTCATATGTAAAGACAATCACAATGTAGCCCTTGAACCATCCTGTAGATATATATTTTTTTTTTTTTTCATCCAGTCAATAAGAAAAATAGTCATACGACATTTACAAAGAGTGTCATAAATGACAATACAAAGATAAACAAATCATGAAATAATAAATAAATAAATAAATTGAAAAACAAATTCCAAATTTATTGAGAAAAAAGCTGCAACGGAATTGACCCACATCCTCTGGACATCAGGGCATACCAGAAGTGGGATATAACAGAATTGGACATAAGAGCCCCTTTTTGAAAGAAAAGAGAAGCAAACCATGAAGTATACAAGCTAGGACCAACATGAGTGATAAGAAATTGTGTTTAATCACTAGAAGATGCGGATCACCGTGAAGTGATTATGTTAAGCGTGGGTCAGATGTTGTTGATGATTCCAAAAGGCACCGGGATCGGTACTGCCACGTGGTTCTCAAATATTGATAGTTGACAAGCTTTTAATAAATAATGCGATCTATAGTCACAACAATAATGCTATTATTATATTCAAAATGATGTGTCCTGTTATAATCCTCATTATAACACGAAGAAAACCCGTTCGGTCTTGTAATTTCAAATTTGTCGTTATCACGCGATAAATGTCTTGATGGAAGTTCTATAAACAAACTTGCATTGTTCAAGTCAATTATGTCGGTTGAACTTAGCTGAATTTAAGATACTCTTAACCTGTCTTATCCCAGTTGGAATTACAACAGACTATCATTTTTAACTCACTTTCATCTGTCTATTAAAAGTGAACGCCTTCGTAGCTCTCTATTTTTTTATTTTTCTTTTAAACTCAACGTCAAGTTTTCGCACGTCTAAATTTTAATTTAACATTCTTAAAAAATATAAAATAAAATAAAATTTCATTCAATAAAAGGTAAATTACACATATTTTTTTAAAAATTTGAACAAATTATACATGAATAACTGTTTAGCGATTATTATTTTTGAATTTCCTTAAATTTTAACACTGTGTCTTCAACAACACGTTTTAATGTTTTCTTTCCGGCAGGCTTATAACTATATTCTAGAAAAAGGACAATAAGATAAATTACACTTACCTACCCTAAGGTCTGAACAAATTACACATGGTCTTGTAAATTTTTAAGTTAACAAATATTTGCACAATAAGATAAATTACACTAACCTACGGTGAGGTTTAAGCAAATTATACATGATTTATGTATTAGTTCTAATATAATGGCAAAAATTCACATGACTCATGTCAATTTTCAAATTAACAAATATTTGCACAATAGATAAATTACACTTATCCGTCATGAGATTTAGACAAACTACACATGAGTTATGTGATTTTTAGGTTAACAAATATTTGCAATATAATATATTAGTTATAATATAATGTCAATACTAATTTTTCACAGTCTACAAAGAGTTTAGGAATTGGGAAAGATCAAAGAATTAGGAATGATCTTTGTCAAATTTTTTAAATATATATATATAATAACGTAATTTAGGATAAACTGTAAATACTACTTTAGTGTGAAAAAGAATTAGACACGACGTAAGAGGGCACCATTTTAAACATGACGAAGGCTCTCTCTCTCTTCATGTCAAGTCAATTCTCTTCAGTCATTCACATCCGTTCTGAAAAATCACGTCTCATGCTAATCAAAATCAATTGACAAGGTTCAATGCCCACATTGCCTGGATTTTCTTAATCAATTCTATTTCACTTCAAACATTTAAGTTTTTTTTTTTTTTTTTTTTTAATACATCTTTATTAGGTTTCTAAATTTTAAGTTTCATATAACTTTTATATATATATATTAAATAAATACTCGTAGACACATTTCACAAATTACCACTGCAAGTCTCAAATGGCCCACTGTTATTTTTTGCAAGTGATAAAACAGGTCTGCAAGCCGACACATACCTCTATGTTGAGCGGGTTTTTGGGTTTACCACATTATTGGTATGCAAAATAAATCACAATGCAAGAAAATTAATTCCACCAACATATAGTACTTGAATTGCGCATTTTGATCGGTTTAGGTATCTATTCGGATTTTTGAGCATGTGCCCTAATACCAACTTTACACTGGCGCGCAAGGGCGTGCACATGCGGTGCGCGCATGGGGCTTGGCCCCGGTGCCCTTTTGGCCGTGACTGTCACCCTTTTTTATTTTCGCTCGTTCTCCTCCGTCCAGACTTCGAATCAAATGTTTCTTGAGTCTATCTTCGTTAATTTTTCGATGTCTAAAAATATCTCTTCCGCATTTTGTTTTTTTTTAAACTCTGTGACTTCATGGAAAGTCACTCTAGCATTATTGGGACACCGTTTATTCCTAGGAATCTTGTTTTCTTTGTTTTCGCTTCCGCATTCTGAATCCGTTATTGGGTCAACTTTCGGATCACATTGACATATCCGAGTTGGTGAAAATTCGGAATGTCACGGGTGGCATCAGAGCATCTCATGTTCAGATCATCACAAGTTACTGTCTCCCTCAACCCTTTACAAGTCTATTATTGGAAGTATATTGTATCTCACAGCTTCAAGGCCTGACATTATATATTCGGTGGGTTTAGTGGTCCGCTTTCAAAGCAATCCCAAAGCTTCTGGTTGACTCTACTAGCTCTGCAGTCAGGCTGGTTGACAAAGCATACAAATATCACTGAATATATATGCCAGAAATGTCAATATAAATGGCTCCGAAATGTCAATACAGAAATAACAAGATGAATGAAGCATAAGCATCAAGCCTAAAAGGAGTACAAAATAAAACCACAATCTTCAGTTTATAAATTATGAACAGTACTGAGAATTTTCAAGAACAAAATCCTGATACATTTAATCCATTAGCAAACACAGCATAAACCAACAATACAACAATATTCAGTTTGCTGCTATTACTACAGCAAGCAAGAAGAACATACAAGAAAAATTAAGAAAAAAAAATGTTCTTATTTTCATTTTTGCATTTCATTTGATACAATCGACTTTTCTCTTTTTTCTTTTTCTTTTTCTTTTTCTTTTTCTTTTTTTTTTTTCCCTTTTTTGGTCATCATAATACAATAACAACAATTTATCAATTTTCTACACAATCATGTTCTTTGCCTGACCCTCCTGCCATTGGTGTCACCACCATCTGAAAGTTGGGCCCAGACGCTTCGGGACTTTCCCCCTCCGCTGCTACAATCCTCCTCACAACCAGCTACTGTCTTCAGGAGCTCTGACTGCAGCGAAGGACAATTTTCCCTTAGGTATTCAAAGCCGTCTGATCGCATTACAGCTGCAACAAAAAGGCGAAACAGAGTATAAGAAAAAGTTATGCACGGGAATTTTTTTATTTTCTTTTCCTAGTAATGCATGGGAAATTTATTGATAGAATCAAGCAAATTTCAAGGGCTGCTCTAAAGAAAAATAAATTATATGAAGTTCACTAGGTGTTATTTCTCAACTCAAATTTATTTTATGGCCAAAAATTCCATTAATATCAAGAAATCCATTTATAGAGACTCCAAGTAGCACATGATTGAAAGAAAGTTGGTACAGTGTATCCACATAACCCACAAAAGAACCATGATTCACTTTCTTATCTACTTAGCCCAGCAAATGCAATTATAACAGCGCCCACACCCCGTAAATAGATCATCTGTGAGCAATTACCAACGGGCCAATGGCCCAGCGGTATCAGCCTCTTACTTCCCAAAGAGAGGTCAGAGGTTCAAGTCTCAAAAGAGACAAGTGTGTGTGAGTACCAATTAGGAAAAAAAAAAAAAAGTGGTTCACTCAGAAACCACATTTTTTCTCTCTTAAAATAGGCGAGAACCCACATTTAGATAACTATGATGATCCCCTCTCCCCCAATCACACCACAAAACAAAAGCCCAGTTAAAAAAGAATGGGATGAATGGAACTATTAAGGAGTTGAGACCTTAAAATAATTTATGTTGCCTCATTTGAAATACTTGCCTACATAATTCTACCAATACTTCACAAATTTTTTGCAAGTTTCTATTTTCAAAAAATCAAGAAGAGCGCAATATGCTCCATGAAATAATGGGAATCACCTACCTCTCTAGCCAAACCACACTTGTGATAAATTCCCACCAAGATCGTTCAGACTATGACTCTATGTTGGATCAATGGGGGGTTCATAAGTTGGGATCATAGAATCGCATCGAGGATCGAAAGATTCTACAAAAGAAGGAACAAAATACTAAAATAGTGATATTTATAAATAAAGAATTTCCAAAAAAAAAAAAACAGAATTAAGCCTAGAACACATTAAAAAATATACAAATTTTATTACAAACATATGGAACATATATGTGAAAACAAAGTTCGTCCAAGTAGATTTAAAAATATAGTTCAGAAGATAGAACCCTAACATAATGCCATTTACAAGTTGCAAATGGAATGCATGAAAGACCAAATTTCAAATCCTTATTCTCATGTTTCTCCTTACAATAAGTTTTATAGTACAAAAAATACCTTTTTATATAAAAACAAACCAAAGACAATTCCTAAGCACAATCACCCCAATTATGTTTGACGTAACAACCAAAACTTGTGATGAAAACATGAAAGACAGTTTCAACTTTCAAGTACCCATAATAAGATTATATAAATTAATTTTATATACATGGTGCAATCTTGCTACAATCCCATGGTGGTGTTATTATCCTAAATGATCTTGGGGCAACCCACTACAGTCCTACCCCTCCACGATTTTTCATTCAGTCTGGAAAGATTTGATAATTTTCAACCTTAGGATCGTACAACACTACAATCCATTGTATTTGCATAACCATGGTTCCCACCATATACCAACCACAAGTAAGCCTTTAAATCTTCGACATTTAAGTTGCACAAGATAGAAATGATCTCAAATGTATTAGAATTCAAAGCTAAAAGTTAAGAATATAGGAGTTGATCTTGACTGAAAAATAATTTATTGCAACAAATTAAATTAGAAAGATCTAAACTTAAGAGATATGATAGAAAAGAATCGAAAAAGAGAATTCATGTGGCCAACCCCATCTCTATGGGATAAAGGCAAAGATGACGATGATGAAATTAAATTAGAAAGAAGAAAAATATTCAAGAATCAATTCACCACAACTAGTCGAATAGCATCACACAATTCCTCAGGAGTTCCAGTAGCTGCTAAGAGAAATTAAGAGTGTTTTTTCAATAGCTATAGGTGCTCTTAGGGATTCTGTGATGCAAACTTATCCCTAGGTGTAAAAAGATACCAAAATTAACCATAAGCTAAAGAAAAGGGGCTCAAATGCCCTTGTTGCCTGGCAAATTCCACACACGCATATCAGAAACACAAAGTATATAAACTAAAGGATATCTACTCCTACAGGGGCTAATACTTCAATATTAGGAACACCTTAAAACTAATCTAAACCCACTTAAGGTCACATAAGAAAACCACATAACAATCAAGCTCATCTGATCACAAATAAATCCATAAGCCACTAATACAACCCAAGCTCACAAAATCTGAAGTTCCCTATGTACCCTTCAATTTGAAGAAACCTTTTGAAGAACAGGGTGAGGGTCTTGAAGCAGCAAGCTGCCGCAAGGTGATGAAGGAACCCCCCGAAGCACGATGAGCACGAAAAAGACCCCTTCGAGCCGCAGCACATGAGAGAGGAAACTCTGATGCAAAGCAAGTGCAGCCGCAATATTTAAAGAGGAAGTAGGAGCCGTGGCGCTCAAGCTGAGAGGGAGCAAAGGCCCAAAGCAACGCCTGAGCCACAAGGAGCTTTGCGTTGGGAGGCGTTAATTTGGTGAGAAGACGCTACCACAGTGGCATTCGAAGCTACAAGGAGACAACAGCACATGGAGGTGTTTGAGTAGCGTAGGACGGCTAGTCCCATGGTGACTCTCGAACTGCCTGAACTATTGTGTTGTGAGACTAAGGGAAAGTGTGACGATGACCACGCCGAGGCAAAGGCAGATCCAAAGGTGCCCTAGTCTCAAAAGTATAAATAGGTCATGAAAGAAGTAACAAAAATAGATTGAAGAACTCATGCAAAGTATCCTTTTTATGGGGAACCAAGGAATGTCTTCCAAAAGAAGCTAAAAAGGAAATTTTAAAGTCCTCTTCGTATAGCTAGTATGAGGCAATAATGGATGAATAATACCCATTAATCAACGGAGACCCCATTCTCCACCAATAAACACTTGACACGCAGCTAAAAACTTTTTAAAAAAAAACTTTAAGACGAACAAGAAATCAAGATGGTGCATTGATGGAAAAAGAAATGTCAATTAAAAGCATTATGTGCGAGGACTCGTAAGAGAGCCCTCGCACATCGGGGCAAATCGTGGGAATCTATTCGTCGGCTCTAGATCTCAATCACTCTAGCTCTCTCTTTTTCTATGGTTAGCCACTTCAATTGCTCTCTTACTAAAAATTTTGATTACCAATTGTCACAGGTGTGACCACCAATGGAACTGAAGCTTCATCGGAATCCCTAAGACCCTCTGAAACGGTACTTTAATTATCGAAAACCTCCTCTATACAGATCAAGCTTGATCCTCCGAAGAGTTTCTCTGCGAACAAACCTTGATCCTCCAAGGGTATGCACCCGGGCAGACCTCGAAGGAGAGCAACGAAGGCAGACCCTCAAAGAAAGCAATGAAGGCAAACCCTGAAAAAAAGTACCAAAGGCCCTCCAGAAGCTCCCTTCCTCAATATGGGTCCCTTGGGGAGTATTGTCTTGGCAGCTAAGGTTCGAGGGACGTCAAACTGTCAAAGGGACACCACCGTGGCTCAAGGAAGTGCAGTGTCCTCTTTGGCCTGTCACGAAGGAAGCAAGCCCCAAAACCCTCGAGTGAAGCAAGCCCCAAAACCCTCGCATTTAATGCAAGACTTACTTAGTCAGGTCACATTATTAAATGTTTTTAGCCCCTCTTTTGCCTTGATGGAACAGACATTCCAACTTGAGCCTTCAAATAGTCAGCATCCTCATTTGACCAAGGACCGGTGGGCCATCCCCTTCACCCACGGTCTTTGCCTTGGACTGGTCTAGTATAAATAGAGTAAATGTTTCATTTACACCATCCGAAAACCCAAGAGAACATTTAACACTAAGCTAACTTCACTCTATCAAAGATTACAACAGTTGTCCCCACTCTATTCCTCAAGCCCTCAAGGGGCCCCTCGCTTGACAGTTCAAACTTCCACTTAGGCTTCTATTTGTTTGTGATACTGTTATAGTTAAAGTGATTCCTCATTCTCTAGACCGTCACATCAACTCCAACAATCCTACTATAAATGAAAAATAAATTAAACTATGGACACAAAAGTGTGAAGGAATATGAGGGGATCATAATAAATGTACAAATTTTTATGTTAACACTTTCCCATCGGATTAGTATCATCCTAAACACACATACTTTTCGTTTTAATTCTTTCTATGCCCTTTCCTACCATAAAAGAAAAAAATAAACTAGAAACCCATTAATGTGAAGGAATATGAGTGGATCATACTAAATGAACAACCTTTTGTTTTATTTCTTTCAGCAAGTTGGCATCATATTAAATGCAAATGCTTTTCTTTTACTTCTTTCTAGTGGTTTGGTTGTTGGATTTGACTGCCTATGATAGAAGAATTCCTTATATTCTCATTATGTAATGTCACTTCATTTTTAAAATAAATATATATATGAAATTGTTTCATAAAAAATATACTAAATGCATAAAATGTCAATTCATTCTTAATGTGAATATATATATATATTGTTGCGACAAACAACCACGAACCAAATAACAAAAATATGCACGACACACACAAAGAACACAAAGATTTAGCGTGGTTTGGCAAAGCCTACGTCCTCGGTGAAGATCCGGTGAAAGAATTCACTCTGCGAAAATTTGGAGATTACAAGTTCTAGCCCCCAAGCCCAAATCACGCTCTCTCTCTCTTTTCTGCGATTTTCAGAATCTCTCAATAATCCCACTCCAAACCCTAAGCACCCTTATATATCGGGCTACAAGAGGGTAGTAAATAAGGTCCACCACCCGCAAGCAAAAAAATGGGTCAAAAAATTTCCTCAGGGGCTGGGTAATTGGATCGCAACGCAACCCAGCATCAAATTCGAGCCATACCATCACATATATAAATGACGTTGTTTCATACTAAATGCATAAATTTATCCTGTTAACGGTCAAAAGTGGGGAGAGAAGAGGGAAACCAACAAAAGAATGAGGGAAAAGATAGTGGTAATGTTGAGATGATGGGAAGATCATGGGCAATATAGCAGCAAATAACAACAGCAAGCTAAAAAGCCTATACGATAAACCAATTCCTCAAAAGTCTCAGATATCAAAATGAAGTGTAGAGAAAAACCAAGTATAGTTTATAAAGCATTTTGGCTGATCATATTCAAAATAAGAGGGGTAATTTAAAAAAACTAATGAACATAAGGTATAATAAGGTAACTTTGGGGCAGTAACTCGATCACATCTAGAACCAAAGTCATGTTTTACATCTCTGATCTCTCCCCCACCTATAACCTAATAAGAATGTAGGCATATTGTTTGTTTTGATGTATGTATAAACTGCCTGAATACACGCATATATATATATATATATATATATATATATATATATATATATATATCATAGTTCTTCCATGAAATTTTGGACACAGTTCAAAACATGATCATCTCCTACTAGGCCGATTCAACTCAAACTCAACTGAGTTCGAGTCAGGCCAAGGTCTAACTTAACCGATACAGCCGAATCTCAGCTCACTCGACCGAGTTAGGCCGAGATTCGGCCAGAACAAATATCATCATTGTTGTCTCAGCTGAGACTGGGTCGATACTGCCGAACCTCGGCCAAGTCACAACTAGGACAGCCATGATTTTTGGCCTGCATCTAGAAATCCTATTTTAGCTTTGACTCTCTCATTTTTCCAACTCTTAAGAGCGAAGTAGAGAGAACCAAGCCGCCACCCTATCATGCGTTTACAAATCAACATAAAAAATTAAAATTTCAATTTAAAAAAAAAAATAATAATAAACACTTCAAATTTTTCGATAAATTTATGTTCCAGGTGTTTTTGAACTCAGAGATTAATTTGTAAATTTTGAAATTTTTAGTTAACTACAAATGTCTGTGTATAACATAAAGATATAAACATATTTCATATAATGCATATATACTAATATACATTTGTTTTGCATAAAATACAATTAACAATAAAGTGACTTAAAAATCAGAAAATTAGTAAATTCCATTGAGAAGTATTGAAAATTTATTTAAAAAAGAAAAACAAGCAAATAAGTAAGAGAATATTATTTTTTGATAAGTCAACTAAGTAAGAGTATATAATCCTTGATGTAAATTAGTGTATGTTTTTGTGAGTATGACATGTTTATTTTTTAGTTTTAAATTTTAATATGCATTTGCAGCCAAAAATTTAGTGCAAAGCACAAATTAATACATTGATAGTGCTACTAACGCCTTAAAATCTCATTTATATCCCATTACTCATACGAAATCACCTTTGAATATTCAATAAAATTCATTAAACTCTAATACTATACTTCTCAAAGCATTACAAGATTGAAAGTAAGATATTTACCTGCAAGGTTTTCAGCTGCAAATCTAAGGCAGACAGCTTTTAGTTCTGTGGCATTATAACGATCTGCCAAAGCTAGAGTTTCTGCAACAGAATTAACAGATATATCTTGGCAGAGATGAGACTCACACCTTCCTCTAAGTCTCATCAAATCATACTTATCAGCTGCTGCTAACAACTTTGCTGTTAATGTGTCAGATACAGAGGATACACATGACGAACTAGAAGCTACCAACTCATCTTCCATAAGATCATCTCTATATATAAAGTGCAACATAGCCTGTCACATCAAAGTATTTTTTACAACCCAAGAATAGCAATAATGAAGAAATTGTGCACAAGACATTAAGAATACCAAAAATATGATCAACCAAGATGCAAAAATAGAATAGGTTAACTTCACCTTAAAAACCTTGGGTTCCATATCTGAAACAACAATCTCCTGATTGTCACAATCTGATCCATCAAAAAAATCAGATCGAAATACAGGGGATCGAGCAGCCAATACCAACTTATGAGCATGAAATATTTCCCCAGCCACATTGAATGTAACATCAGAACCTTCCATATTTTCCAATAGCATACTAAAATGTGCACCAATATCCGAATCTGGGACATGAATTGAGTGCAATCTTGAACAGTCAATTGCAGAAACTACAACTCCAACAGTACAATTGATTTTCAAACAATCGTCTTTAAGATAATCTGAAGTTTCAAGCAAAGCTCTTCTGAAGAAACGCTTGTATCCCCTATAAAATAGCACAAGAAGAACCAAATTAGTGTCTGTAAGATTTGCATGATGTTGAAGGAATAGTGGAATATCTGGATGAACTAGCTTTGTGCATGGATGACATGTGGCACACCTGTATCTTCTATACATTCTCCCTCTCCAACTCTAATCATATTTCTTATAACTAATTGTATTTTTTGAGGATTACCAGAAGCATATAAAGATTGTTTGATCATAATCAATATTGTCAATGGTGTTATAACTTTCTTATGTACACTAACAAATTTGTGTTGGATGCAAATTACAAGTTTATAAGCATAAATGTGAGATAGGTTGGCATTTCCTTCTGAGGATTATCTTTTAAATGTTTCTATGTAAAGGATTTTGATCCTAGATATTTATAAAATGGGAGTTACATAACGAGGATGGAAAAAATAGTGTAATTGTGTAAAGGTTGTTGATTTGTCATTTTAATATTAAACCTGAGTATGCCCATGAGAACTATCGGGTTTTCCGTGTTGGCCCGTGTGAGCATCAGGTTTTCATATCTTAAGTTTGAGAAATAACAACAATTGTCCAAAATTATTCATGTTGGCTAACAAGTGGAGAACTATACCAATTTGCAGTACATCATAAAGTTGGTAACTCAAAAAATAAAAAAGACTGGTATGCTTAAATCAACAAACCAGTATAGGATGTCCTCCCTATGTGACTTTTTTTGTCAGCAAAGACCAGCATTTTCACATTAATCCTGCTATTTCTGAATGCAAACCATAATGACTCAACAAAAGAAACTTCATATCCACATTTAAAGTATACAACTCATCGTGAAAACCAAATCAGTTCTCAAGACATTCTCAATATATCTAACTTTCTAGTAGTATTACACTCCCAATACATTTGAACAACCAACATAATTAGGATGATTTTCAGAATTAACATAGAAGTACATTTGGGCTTCACTAGAAAGGTAAATATGATCATAATATAAAACCCATATGATACCATTCTATAACTTGGAATTTCTACGAAAAGATTCCAAACAAAAACAGTGTAATCACAACATCATAACCACGTAATGAACACATAACAAAACTACCCACATAATTAAGCAAAATACAATATAGGATATAGTTACAAACTCACCACATGCTGCCTCTGTACTTCAATGTATACGGCCCGCTTTCGAGTGACCGATCAAAATGGCTATGAACCTTATGCTTTCCCTTCCCACTCTGATCAACCAAAGTCAATTCAAACAACGCCCTCACATCAGTTCCCTCGCTCGCCAAGGCGATGAAAACCGAGACGTACGTCGAATTGTCCTCGGGGTTCTTCCCATCTGGGTAGAAATATATGGCCCACTGATACCCTCCCACCGTGAAATTGTCGCTCGCGATGTGCTTCCCTATGCCCATGCCTTTGGCCAGAGAGTAGCCTTGGATTACGAACCGGTGCGAGCCGTTCACGGTCTCGGTCACCGACCTCGACCTCGTCGGCGACACCAGGAGGTTCGTATCGGCTGTGGCGGTGTCCGACATTGTTCAGACGTTTGAAACTACGTTCATGGGAGGTTTGTGAGATTAAACGGTTGAATTTGTTGATGCGGAAGTGAATTTGACGAATTAGGAGAGAGATTGAGGTGAGTCAGTGAGATTTTTCAGAGAATTTGAGAGTACCTAGGATTTTCGGGTTATGACTAATGAGAGAGAATTTAGGGTTTTTCTCTCTCTAGAAAATGCGACCGCTTTTCTTGGATTTTTTTTTGTGTTGCCTCTCTCACGCGGGTTGTTGGATGAACGTCACGTGAGGACCACAAACAAAAACTTTATTCGGCTAATAAGACTAATAAAACCCCCCAATCAGTCAGTCTCCCTTGAGCCATTTCCGTAACGGTTGTGTTGGGAGGCGGTGGTGAAAAATAGTGGTGTTGGTGGCTGTCAAAGGTAGCTGTGGTGGTGATTTATGTGGGAATGGAATGATCATTTTGTAGGTTCAGTTGTGAAATGAATTTTTATTTTTAGAAATAAATTTTGTTTCAAATGGGATGATCATTTCTATTTTAAATTATATACCAAAGAAATAAATGATTGAAATAGACATTCCATTCATGCACACTAAATACAATGTTGCGTTTGGTGTGTAGGAATGGAATGGAGTGCCCGTTCCAACCATTATTTTATTTTGTATGCAATTTAAAGTGAAAATGACTATTCTATTGGAATGAAAATTCATTCAACAATTAAACCTATGGAATGGCTATTCCATTCCCAAGTTAATTTTTTTTTAAAGGTCAACTTCTCAAAAAATACTCATGTTTTAAGTCCAAAAGCTACCACTACCTTCCACCACAATCACCTCCAACTTTCATCACCATCACCACTACTATCGCCTTCCACCACCATCATCGCCACCGACTTTCACCATTACCCACCGCTTTTCACCACCACCTTTTACCACTAACACCTCCTTCCTTTGCCGCAACCACCACCACCATCGCCACCGCCTTTCACCACCACTACTGCCACCACCACCACCACCACTGTTGCCTTCCACAACCACCACCACCGTCATTGCCTTTGACCACTGCCACCACCTTCCACCACCGCCACCGCCACCGTCACCATCTTTCACCACCGCCACCACCTTTCACCATAGCCACCACCTTCCACCACTACCATCACTACCACCTTCCACCACTACTACCGCCTTTCACCACTTCTACCGTCTTCCATCGTCATTGTCTTCCATCGTCGCCACCTCCATTATCTTCCACCACCACCGCAATCGCCTTCCACCACCTTCCATCACCACCGCAATCGCCTTCCACCACCTTCCACCACCGCCTTCCACCACCTTCCACCACCGCCACCTCCACTGCCTTCCACCACCACCACAGTCACCTCCATTGGCTTCCACCACCGCCACCTACATCACTATCTTTTTCCACCACCACCACCACACTACTGCCACCTCTTTCCACTACCACCACCGCCACCTTCCACCATCGCCACCACCGTCGTCTTCCAACACCACCACCTACACCACTACTGCTTTTCACCTCCACCACCATCGTCACCACCATCCACCACCGCCATTACCACCATTTATTTTTAAAAAATTATTAGAGAATGTCATTTTGTTAATTTAATTTATTTGTTATTAAGAGGGATATTTTGGATAATTCAATTTGAAACTTATTTCATTCTAAATTTTAAATTGGTACAACCAAACACTAAAATGGTTATTATTATTTCATTCCTACACATTTCATATTTACAACTAAACAATAGAATGAGAATGGCCATTTCATTCCATTCTCATTCTTATTCCATTCTCACTTGCATTCTATTCCTGCATACCAAACACAAGGGTCTATTTTATAATAAGGTAAGGAATGGGCATTTTAAATTTGAAAGAAAAAACTTTCATTAAATAACATAACTAATATAATGGTATAAATATAACAAAAGAAAAGCTATTTAACCATATACATGTTGTAACGATCCAAATTCGAGGGTCTGAATTATTATCCTGGTCCTTACCCGAACCTGAGGTCATTTAAGGCATTATAGGTATTTCCAATGTGGAAATATAATTAATTACATTTAATCACATGAATCAATTCCATTATCCATGTATATTTATATATGTCTCAAAACAGATTTATACATGCCAAAAAGAATAAAATTGCATTGTCAAGGTCACAACTATAAGGCTATTATATAACGTCTGCCAAGGCTTCACTAAATACATCTTCTAACACAAAATGGCAAATGGAAATCTTTTTAGTCCCATCTATGCTTCTAGAGGATCAACATCCACCAATTCTTCCCCGTAACCTGAAAAATGTAGAGGAGTGAGCACAACGACTCAGTATAGATTGCCTAAGTGGTATCTCCTCAAACAAAGTAAGTAATTACATGTCTTTCATACAATGAATAAGAAAAAGAGGAAGGGGTCATGCGAGGGATTCACATACAACATTTCCGTTTTCAATTAATCATCATCACCATCTAACTACATTTGCAATGCATGAAATGCCAATGCAACCACACACCGCACCCGTACAGCTCACACGTCCACATATCGCATCCATATCCTCGCATCGACACATCACAACCACACCCTCGTGTATACACACATCATATCCACACAACTCTTAAGCTCATAAATACCCTTATGCCATGCATATGAAAATGTTTCAGACACAACCATTCACTACTCATTATGCTTCCTTAACATAATAGACAATACTATGGCCATAATGAAATTAATTCACATTTATAACATGCTTCAAATACTAAAATATCATCAAGCATGTATATAGCCAAAAATATCAACTCAACCATAAAAAAAATTATATATTCCATCAAATAGCCACTTAATAGCACGTCTTTTTTTTTTTTTTTTTTTTTTTTTTTTTTTTTTTTTTTTTTTGGCAATTCATACACAAGCACAACATATAATTACATCAATTCATCAATTAGACAAACTCATACATAAGCTAAACTCTATAATCAAATCATTCCATTTAAGCATCAAATTGACGTGCTAAAAAGGGGCAAAACATCCAATTAACTACCAAATCCAAGAAAATTAATAATTAGACAACTTTACCTCTTTAGATGCAAAAAGCCCCAATTTCTCCAAATTTCAAAATTCACCAAAATCTCCCAATCCAACTTTGCTCCGATCAAATCGAAACTCTCGTCGTACTCGTTAACTTTGCTTTCAGTGGGAAAGTCAAATTCTCAAAGGAATTGTATAGATCTAAGCTATAATGGCTAATAACAAATGGTGGGTCAAACGGCTTAAAATATCATCGTTTGTCGTTTTACACACACACACACACACACACACACACACACACACATTAAACACATCACAACCACATATCCAAACATATAGCCACATAAAATATATCAAATAACAATGCATAAAATGCAGTGGCCCTACAGAATAATCCCCATGCTCAACAAATCCGGTTAGGACTCACACAACCACATATCCAAACATATAGCCACATAAAATACATCAAATAATAATGCATAAAATGCAGTGGCCCTGCAGAATAATCCCCATGCTCAACAAATGTCGAAATGGCCAATGTGCATTTTTAAGAGTCCCAAACTCAAATAAATGCCCTAAACAACTCTTGGGACTCACACGGCACACTCCACGGTGCCTGGCATGCAAAATGAGGCGATAAATAAATAAATTCAGAAAAATCAAAAAATACCCGAAAAATGGAAAAACGGAAAATTGTGAAACGTCACACATGCCAAACTAAAAAATGCGTTTGAACGAGCATTTGGAGTATTAGAGACTCGTTTTTCAATCTTGGAAAGGATGGTACCTTATACATTTGAATTGCAAAGGAATATAGTTATGCTGTGTTTGGTGTGCAGGAATGGAATGGAATGCAAGTGGGAATTGAATGGAATGGTCATTCTCATTCTATTATTTGGTTGTAAATATGAAATGTGTATAAATGGAATGATAATAACCATTCTAATATTTGATTGGACCAATTAAAAATTTAGAATGAAATAAATTTCAAATTAAATTCTCCAAAATATCCCTCTTAGTAATAAATAAATAAAATTAGCAAAATGAAATTATTCTATAATTTTTTTAAAAATAAATGGTGGCAGTGGCAATGGCAGTGGCAATGGTGGATGGTGGTGGAGGTAGAAAGTAGTAGTGATGTAGGTGGTGGAAAGCGGTAGCAGTAGTATGGTGGTGGTGGTGGTGGAAGAAGATAATGGTGTAGGTGACGGTGAGAAAAGCCAATGGAGGTGATTGTGATGGTGGTGGAAGGCAGTGGAGGTGGTGGAAAGGGGCGGCGGTGGTGGAAAGGGGCGGCGGTGGTTGTGGTGGTGGAAGGCGGTGATGGTACTGGTGGCGGTGGTGGTGGAAGGTAGTGGCGCTGGTGAAAGGCGGTGGGAATAGAAAGCGTTAGCGGTGGTGAAAGACAGTGGTAGTGGTGGAAGGTGGTGGCGGTAGTGGTGGTGGAAGGTGGTGGCGATAGTGGTGGTGGAAGGTAGCGGTGGTGAATGTAATGGTTTGTAGTGAAAGGTGATGGCGGTGGTGGCAATGGCAGTGGCAGTGGTGGTGGAAAGAGGTGGGCAGTGGTGAAAGTCGATGGCAGCGGTGGTGGTAGAAGGCGATGGTAGTGGTGGAAGTCGGTGGTAGGGGTGGTGAAAGGCAAAAGTGGTTATGGTTGAAGGTAATGGTGATTTTTAGACTTGGAACATGAGAATTTTTCAGGAAGTTGAATTTTTTTAAAAAAATTACTTGGGATGGAATGGCCATTCCATAGGTTTAGTTGTGTAATGGATTTTCATTTCCAGTAATAGATTTTCATTAGAATGGAATGAGTATTTTCAGATTAAATTGCGTACCAAACAAAAGAATTGTTGGAATGGACATTTCATTCTTGCACACAAACGCAGCATTATTGTTTGTGCAGCTATTTATAATTACCTTAAAAAAACTTTTGCCATGGATGAACTTTTTGAGTGGTATACGATTAAGGATTAGCAACTTGAGACTCCATCTAATATTGCTGAAATTTTGACATTCTCTTAAATTCACACCAAAGAAAAGCAATTTAATCAAGTGTTTATGATTAATTTGCATGACCAAATTGTAAATGATTTATTTAGTTCTTGAGCTTAAAATTTACTATATGTTTTGTTTAATTTAAAATTTTTGAACCATTCACTTTTAAAATTATGTTAATGAGTACTGCTTGAATAATGTTTATTATTTAAGTTTGAATTAATATTTTTTATGATTTGATTTAACGTTAATATTCATTATTAAATTTATATATTTTATTAGTGAAATTGGTTGTTTTATTAATATTTTTATATTATAAATATAAAACTGTTATGAGTAATAAATATTAAGGGCAAAAATGTAATATGTATAACTTTCAGACTTTAACTTTTATATTTAACAAACAATCTTAATGAATTTAGTGCTTAAAATTAATATATTACCAAACAGGTTTTCAAATTAATATTCGGCACTTAAAAATTTCAACACTTAAAATTTAGTACTTGAAATTTTAAATAATTAATTTTCAATTTTATTAAAAAGTAATACTTGTTTGGTTGGCGAGATTAAAATTTTGATGAGAAAGGAAAGAGGAAAAATGTATCTTTCACTTTTTGTTACTTTTTATTTGGTTGAATGGTAGAGATGTGGATAGAGTGACACTTGTTTTATTTGGTAATTGAAAGGAAGGGAGAGACCTTTAATATATTTTTACGAATATGTCCTCATTATATGTAAGAGAATTTCGATGGGTTTAACAAACATAAAAGTTAAAATTGATATTACATATTTGTAAGGTAGCTTTACTTTCTTTCTCTCTTATCTTCCATCCAATTTTGGTTCTCTCTATCCCTCATCTCTTCCTCCAATTTTGACTCAATTCTTCCTTCCAACCAAACATAACATAATGGCTAAGTCAACCTTATTAAGTTGTGGTTTATCTAATAAGTTGTGGGGATAAGTTGTGCACATTGGATACTTCATATTTGTTTCCAAGTTTGACCCTAAGGGTGAATAGAGCCTTTAGGCAACTGACTGACTTTTCAAAGTTAAGGGCCTAAGGCAAACTAATGGATGAAGCATTGTCCAGCAAAGGGCCAATTATGAGTTAATTTGGGGGATCTATTTTCCAGCTTAACATTCTGACTGTGTTTTGTTGGAGTGAAAGTAAAATTGATGGAATGGGTAAAGGAAGGAATGGATAAGACATTCTGACGGAAGGAAAAATGTCTCTCCTCACTTTTCGTTTAGTTAAATGGTGTGGATAGTGTAAAATATGTATAGGGTGACACATTTTATTTTTTGTTGGAAGGAAGGAATATAAAGTTTTTATATTCTTTTTACCGATATACCTTCATTTTAAAAAATTATAAAAGGTAGATATTCATTTCAAATTATTGTAACATTGTTGAGATTTTTACACTAACAAGTTGTGCAGATAATTTTTTACTCATATTCAGATGATAATTTATTAAGTCCACTTGCTTAAAATACAAGTCAAGTCTCCTTCGTACAATTGGGGGAGGGGCGAGAAAAGAAATAAAAATAATAAAAATGAGTGATCGATAATAAATTATTGATGTCCTTTTATTCACACATAAAATGAAAATCCCAATATAGAGAGTACATTAATCACATTAAATCAATGATCAGTTGCATATCCTTAAACAATTGTAGCTGAAAAATAACATAGAAACTTGCAAATAAAAGCACTTTTTTGATGTGATTAATGTACTCTGCTCAGATGGAACATCAAAAAATACACTTTTTAAATGAGAATATTTGATGAGGAACAGAAATGAATCCAACTGAACATGATCAAGAAGTCCACTAAATATTATTTTCCCAAATACTTCTTCTTATATATATATATATAGTGTTGGAAAATTTTGTCTCGTATATGTTGTTAAACAAGTATTCACAATTAAAATTTTCACAGGTAAGCAAGCATCCACACTTTAATATAACACAATAATTCACTACATTATTATAATTAAACAATACACACACACACAAACACACACACACACACACACACACATATATATATATATATATATTATAATAGCAATGCTAGTATATTAAATTGTAATCTATATACTAATAATACTCTATAATATAGAAAAATAAAGCAGTAATAGAGGAACCTTACAATCAACCGAGGCCAGCATTAAATACTATCTCCTTAAAATAAATTTTACCCCACTTTGGTAATGTGTGTCTTCTTCGGTGTTTGTCCACCTTCAGCACTACACACCAATTAGAACAACAAACCTTCTCTCGAAGTGACTAACTGGACCATTGTGGTTCAACTGAACGTGAGGTTAGGTTTGTAAAGAATAGAATAAGGGATGGTAGAAGTTTGAAGATCTGTCATTTGCAAATTAATTCCTATGGTTCACAACGATGCGACTACTTCTTGTAACCTGTTCACATGTCACCACTACTACCTTAATTGTTTGAACAAATAATAACATGTGTTTAAAAAAAAAAAATTCAATATTTCCGTACAATTTTTTATGTGATCTTTATTAAAGGATAGTAAAGTTATTGATAACGTATCTTTGCAACATTTAAATATGCCGTTGATGTGAAAGTTCCGTTAACTTTATTTTTCTTTTCTTCTTGTTTCAATAATGCATCAAGTAATATGTTAACCATTCCATTTAATTACATTTTTTTTAATTTAACTTATATTCACATACTTATTTGATTTTTTTCATAAAAAAGTAAAAATATAAAACTCATCAATGACATAAATTTTAACGTGAAATAAGTTTCAAACAAAACAAAACGTAATCATTATAAATAACTACATGAAAATACTGTTACAAATAGAATGAAAAAAAAATAAAAAATTATGATTTATAGTCTTTCCACATGTTAGCTGCAATGTCATTCCTAATAATTGATCCTTGCTTAGACTCTGTCATTAGTCTCTCTCTCTCTTCGATAATATCCATCTACTTCTTCAATCAAAACAAGAAAATCTACAAGTAAAATCACCAAAGTAAAAAGTAAATAAAAAGGCATTCAAAATGGGAACAGGCTAAGGCCCCAAAGAATCCAAAAAAAATAATTAAGTCTTCGAAAGAGGAGCTCTTGCTCCTCTTGACATAATTGAAAAAAGAGCGAATAATATAAAGTTTCAGCGTCGCCGTAGACGACTCCTTCCCTTCGAACATTTTGCTATTTCTCTCCTTTTAGATGCACCACCAAACGCAATGTGGGACAACTCTCCAGCAATCGCATAGATCTCTTTTCACACGACATCCTCTCCAAACATGAATCAAATCCTTAGTAGAACGTGGCATTACCCAACACATACTAAACAACCCAAGAATAAGATTCCAACAGTCGTGTACCACAGGACAATGCATGAAGATATGATCAACTGACTCACCATCTTGCTTGCATACCGATTAACAAAACAATTCCCCCTTTTCCTCAAATTATCAGTCGTCAGTATCTTACCCAAATAGCTGTCCATACAAAGAATGTCACACTAGTTGGAGCCATACAAGTAAAATCACCATTACTACCCAACCAAAACAAGAGCTACAAGTAAAAGAAGGAAAATGTAGAAAATCACCGTTACTACCCACGAGCAGATTGAACAAGAGCAAGGCAAAACCATATTAGAAAATCTGCTCCGAATATACCTCAACATATAAAATTGTCAAAGGATTAATATAGAAATAGAGGCAAATGGTATATGGACTGACTCGTGAATTGAACCAACAATGACACACTTGCACAAGAGAATAACTACTTTATATTTATAATCTCATTTATTATTGCTCTAAGCGAAAGAGGAAGATAACAGTTGCTGGACAAAAAAAAAAATACAACACTGAGCTAGATGTTTGCATCATACAATTGGAAATCAAAATCATCAATTTATCAAATTGAACTAGTTCCAAAACTGTATGATTAACAAAACCAAGATCACCAATAATATTGATCTCCCAAATAAACAGACAATGGAGTAATCAAACCAAGCCTTAACACTAGAAAAGTGTCATAGATAAGACTTAAATGCACCAGGTTGTTCAACTTCAAGTTTCAATTGCTGGAACTAAAACTGAGAACTCAAATTTGCTCAAAGATTAATGAATGTCTAATTGATTGCCATGTTGTATTTCAAACAAAAACATATCCACTACCCAAGAGTAAACAAGGAGAAACCGATGTATAGTTGGAATCAAAGATGTGCAACCTTAAAAAGGCCACTCTGTTCCTCATTTTCCCCCTACCCTAGTTACTTTGAAAGATTCAACTTGTCCTGATATAACTTCAAAAGCTCAGGAGATTCTTCCTCATATTTTTTCAAGAACTTCTTTAGGAAGTAACTTTCAGTAGAATCCAACAACGAAGTCAAGCTAAAATCCTTCTTAATCAAGCCTTTTGACAACAAAATTTGATAAACCAAACACCTTGGAATGATCCTCCTCTCCAAGCTGAGGGTAACAATCACTGGCCTCCTCACAACAATCGAAGACTCCCAACCCATTTTATTGACAAAAAAATCCATTATCCCCATAATCTTATCCTCTGATACCAACATACACCGTGGCTGCTTCCCAAAAGCCACATAAATATCATCCTCAGACAAACCCCACTTCTTATAAACATTCACCTTCTTTTCCCAATTTGATTTACTCATTGCCCTCAGTACATAAATTGCAACAGCAAACATCATTCTTTCAGGGTTAAACCCCAATTTCTTTACTTCCTCCAGAATCTCCTTAAACCTATCAGCATTAGGCGTGAAAGCAGAAGGTTGATTTGTCAAGAGAGCCACAATATTCGATTCGGGAACACCTATTTCTCTCAGAGCTTCAATATTGGGTGCTATAGCGGCAGACACCAAAATCGAAGCAAAGCGTTTAATAACGGCATTCGTTTTCTCTTCGGACTTGAGCAATTCCTTGAAGAAATTGTAAGATGGGATGATTTGGTTTTTCAAACTTCCTCCAAAAACACGTGGGGTTGCAGTCAGTATTTTGGCAATGTCTTCGGTTGAAAAACCTTTAGATTGGAAAAATTCGATTTTGGGCAAAAGTTTTTTTTGGGGATCGAACATGAGTGCCTGAGGGAGTCTCTTGACGAGAACTGGGATCTGGGTTTCGGTGACTCCATGGTTTCTGAAGAATGCGAGAACAGAGTCTGGTTTGTCTGGGGTTTTGATGTTGATGTACTTGGAGGTCGAGAGAGCGTCTTGTGGACGAAGCCCACATGATTTTATGAGGTATTCGACTTTGAATGAGTGTTGATTTGAAGTGCTAGATATTGGGTTAATAGCTGATGATGATGATGAAGATAGTGGGTAGTGTTGAAGAAAATTCAGTTTCTGGGTTGGTGAATTTGACACAACACACCTTAAATAAGGCAGAGATTTGAATACGAAATTAAACATGAAAACTGCTGTAACGGACTCACCTGTTCTGGTCGTGTTCTTCTGATGAAATCTCGTCGCAAATTTGGATCTCCTCCCCTAAAATCCCTTCTTTCTGATAAACCCTACACACACTGCCTACACTATACTCTTGAGCTGTTTCATAGCAATACTTATACTGCCTCATATGACGCCGTCTCCAGAGAGTAAGAAATTAGGTTTTAACCCAGAAGAGTTTATTCGCAAATACTTCTACATAAATAATCTTAATTTGGAAACTTTTTGTTACCTTGATTTAGAACATGACACTGCTACTTTTAAAAATGTAGTTAAGACCACCGTGATTTAAGTTTGACTATCTGCATTTGTGAAATAGAGGTGGATCTCCGTATTTGAGACTAGCCTAACCAACTCGTATGGAGAACATTTTTATTATTTTAGTTTTTTTTTTATAATTTTTTTTTAAACTTACTTCTTCTTTTTTTGACTTTTTGCCAAAGGTATTTTCCTAATTGCTATATTTCCAACTCTATATAAACCACTATTTTTTTTTTTAAATTCATGAAATATTTGTGAAATAATTTGGTAATGAAGATATTTAAAGTGAATATAAAATATATATATATGTGTGTGTGTGTGTGTGTGATTTTCATATTGTTGACAAATTTAAAAGAAATAAATAACAAATCTTGCATATTTTTTCACAAATAAATGAATAAATAAAATAATAAATAATATATAAAATAAAATAAAAAGATATTACATAATCTCTCATTAAAACAAAAAAATCAGTTAAAAAATAATACACATGACCACCCCTTTAGACTGAATTTATTCAACATATAAGTTTGTTTTGCAATGATCCACGCGACACCTTTTTTGTTGGAGCCTTAGTTGGATTTTTAAGAGGATGTGTTTTGTAGCCCAGGTGGTGAGCGAGTCCCACGGTTTGGTGCGGTTGTCGAGTCCAGCCATTCATCCTCCAATTCCTCCTCTAATCACTAGCTTCTAACCCCATTAATCATTTTCAAAATAAATAAATAAATAAATTAAATTAAATTAATTAGATTTTTAAGCAACATTATATGTCTTTCAAATTCCACTTATTTCATTCTCATATTAACCATCCTTTCTCTCTATTATACATTCAGTTGTTTAGTCCATTCTTGCTCCATGGTAATTTAGGCCTTGTTTGGATTGACACTCTCAAAACAGTTTTCTGTTTTTAGAGTGTCAAAAATTCTGAAAACCCATTTTTGCACTACTTGGTGCCTGTTTTTGAAAGAGAGTTTTTAGAAAACTGAGATAAGGGAGTATGGGTTTTTTGAAAACAACTCAAAGTTGTTTTGGGAGTCTTCAGAAAGAATGAAACTACACAGAGATGGGAAGGTCACTTTTAAAAAAGACGCCAAAAGGTTGTCGTTTAAAAGCTTCTCTCTCTAAGCCCAAACTGTACGTTCTCTCTCTAAACCCAAACCATACCTTCTTCATTCTTTCTCTCTCTACTGTAAAACTCTAGCATTTGCCGTCTTTCATCCCATGTTGGTGAGTTTTTCTCTCAGGCTTCGGATTCACCTTCAGGGAATGGAGCCCAATCTTTAGATCATCAAGTTCTCCCGATTTGGGTTTAAGGATTATTGCTTCTTCGAATTCATGGGTTTTTCATTGGTTGTGACCGGATTCTTCTCTTTTATGCAGATCGGGTAGAACGATGGACTCAAGGCCGATGTGACGCAGTAGACGAGGGTCGTCGGATACGGGCTGAACTTCGCAAGTCTTTTCTTTCTTCAGTTCCTTCTGAAGTTGGGAGCCGATGTCAGAGGTTGCAATGCGAACTGTTGCGACACTACCAAGATGATTGATGCCAGGTCAGGGAAAATTCAGAGTCATTGGTATGAATTCGAAGTACTGATGTGATGAATTAGAAGTAAAATTGCAATCGGACAATTTCTAAAATTTCCTAAATTACTGTCGAACAACGATTGCTACACCTACCTTTTGCTCTTCCAATTTACTTTATCATCAAGCTCCAGAAAGACATTACTGATTCTTCAAAGCTCGAATTCCACTTGGGTTCAGATAGAAATGGAGTTGGAATATCAATTGGGTTTAGGTATAAATGAATGCTAAATCTGGCTCAAATTGTAAATTGTAAGCGGCTTTGCCCATTGTAGGTCTAGTTGGAGGACATTATTGATTGTTTGGATCTTGTGATTCCTTTGTTCTTCAATTTATCTATGGAAAAAAAAATGGTTGCGATAACAGAGCTAATGAATTGACAGTTGAGATCAGTGTTCAATTTATCTATGGGATGGAGCTATCTGGGCACTACTTGCTTTTCCAATAATGTAAATTTGAGATGTCCACACTTTTCCAATAATGTGAATTTGGAACGGATTCTTTGAACTTCAATCCAAGCAGGATTTTTAGACAACTAAACAGTTTTTTTAGTTTTTGATTTATGAAAACTGTTTTGGAGTTTTTTTCTAACCAAGTAGAATTTCAAACTCAGAAATCTGAATACTGTTTTCAATTTTCATTCTCTAAAAACTGTTTTTCAAAACTATTCTTTGAACTTCAATCCAAGCATGGCCTTAGATTTTGGTTTTGATTTTCAATCGCTTTACTTCAAGTCCTACTTCGGCCACCGCGCGGTCATATTCTTTTAAATCTTGAAATCCTTTACAAAATAAATTCTGCATTTGTACAGCAAATATATTTTTGGTTTTACCCTTCTTTGCTATTTTTCGTGCAAGGAATCGTGGTAAGTCATGCGAACCTTTAGCACTGGTCGATGGGTTGTCATCGCCAAGTCTTATTGAAGTTTGATACTTTAGGATTTGAAAGAATAGATAGATTGCTCTACAATGAATTTGGTATTGTTGAAATCCATTTAGAGCAATTTCCAAGCTCATTAATATCGCGATCAACAACGTCTCTCTTCCATATATATTGATAGGACTTTTATTTCCCTTGTTGAGTATTGCAATGATCATGCCATTTTGGCGAATGCCGAAGAATATCCAACAATGATCAACTTAAATTCCGTACGTTCTTGACTTTTAAATAGTGATTTAGTAGTTTGCATCTATAAAAAATAAACAACAAATTGAAATTAGTCAAATTCTCAATTATAGTTACGAATTTTAAAAAATTACGAAGTAACAAACTTACTAAACCTTCAGCGTTGTAGCCAAATCTTAGACATTTTTATACTATCCAGAAATTTATTTATGTTTGGATGAATGGTTGAAAAACGGTTCATCAAACCATTACTATTTTTTTTCGTCGTGACCCATATTGGTGTAGAAAATTAATATGGATTTGTTCCCATAGGTGGACCTATGTTGCTCCGGTCTTCTCCAACCATCATTCATGCTTTGCATAATGCTTAATCTTCTTCTCGGGACCAATTGAGATTCTTTTGCTTTGAGAGAGGTTGGGATTGAGAGGGTTGATGAGATGGATATCGAAATTGATGTGGACATGGAGATGAGGTGAGTATTGGAGATGAGATATGTTATGATATCCTGAATTTTTAAATTATGCTTTAATTATATTTATGGCTTGATTTTATTTAATTAAATATAATTGGAGACTTCATTATATTCATTAAAATTAGCAGAGCCTTCGAGTATAGTAATAGAGACAAAGGACTTTCGGGAGGATTATTTCCTCCTCTTCCCAGTTGGTTAGGTCGGATAAGGCACAATAAGAAGTTTGTGCACCCCGTCATATGACATTAGAAATCTTGCTTGATTTCAAAATGGGTGGGGAATTCGTCCAGACTTACTTTAGAAGCACCGAAACGACCTCGATCCTAGCACGCCCACACGCAAGCCCGATGCCGGGGTTCTCATATGGAATACTCAAGCACAACTTTGTTAGGAATTATGCCTCAAATTTTCATTATTATTAGTTTCTATTTTAGAGTGTATTTTTTATAGTAATTTCTTATAGAGACTGTGAATTGGGCTCTAAGAAAATGTAATCCTTGTGCACAAAGGAATTGGGTATGTGACTTTATAAATAGACACTTAGGCTATTGTTGAGAGTTATGAGTTGAGAGAGATGTAACTTCATGAGGGAGTTGTTGAGGGTAGGGGTGAGTTATGGGTTTGGTAGAGTGAACACTGATGGCGAGAGGGAGTCTCGTGGAATACACGGAAAACTTGGTCAAAAGTTTGTGTGCATGGTCCGGTGTTGAAATTATCTACTATTATAATATCTGTAATATATAGTGAATCTCTTCTCATCCGTGGATGTAATCTTGATTTTAGGTTAACCACATATATATCTTGTGTTGTGGTTTAAATTGTTGTTTTCTTTCTTTCTTTTGCTTCCATTGTGCCCAACAACTGGTATCAGAGCCAAAGGTGAAGGAGATCCAGAAAATACAAGAAGTCTCAACATGTGCTACAACAGGCTTCAGTTGTAGGTGGAGTCAATCGGCTTGGTTACATGGCATGGAGCTTAAGTAGTCAAGGTAGAGCCTTAGGGTTTTGACTGATTGAGCAACGTATAGTGGGGATAATTCGAGTTCTGCAATAAGATCGAGAAGATTGAAGTTGCAGAGAATTGTCCAGATTCAATTGCCATGAGAAGTAATGATTGACATAATGGAATTTGAGCCAAGGTGGAGATTGTTAAGAATTATGTCTCAAATTCCCATTATTATTAGTTTATATTTTAGAGTGTATTTTTTATGGTAATTTCTTATAGAGACTGTGAATTGAGCTCTAAGAAACTGTAATCCTTGTCCACAAAGGAATTGGGTATGTGACTCTATAATAGACACTTAGGCTATTATTGAGAGTTATGAGTTGAGAGAGATGTAACCTCATGAGGGAGTACGTTGAGGGTAGGGGTGAGTTATGGGTTTGGTAGAGTGAACACTGATGGCGAGAGGGAGTCTCGTGGAGTACACGGAAAATTCGGTCAAAAGTTTTTGTGCATGGTCCGGTGTTGAAATTCTGTACTATTGTAATATCTCTACATATATAGTGAATCTCTTCTCATCCGTGAATGTAAACCTGATTTTGGGTGAATCACGTATATATCTTGTGTTGTGGTTTGAATTATTGTTTTTTTTCTTTCTTTTGCTTCCACTGTGCCCCAACAAACTTCATCCTGTGGACAACAATTTTCCTCAAACTCCCCACCTACGGCGGTAAACTATTTGCAAACCAAGCATTAAGAATAAGCTTCCATTGCATAATTTTCAATAGTATATATTCTTTTACAGACATATAGACATGTTTATTGATCAACTTTAAGTTAAATGTCCCATACTTCATACAACTACTATGATTAAGTTGAACATTGATAAAATAAAATAAAGAGAGCTATACTACATAAATAAAATATCAAATCTTTAAAAAAAAAGGAAAAAAAAAAAGAAAAGAAAAAAAGAAATTGGTGATTGGCTGTTTGGTGCACCTTAGTACCCTTAACCTACAAATTAACTATACTTCTATTTGGTAAAGATACAAGTGGAAAACTGAGTGGTTTAGAACTTAAGTTAACTCAGTGGAATTGAATACTATTTCAAAAAGAAATTAATTTTTTTAAAAATTATCTCATGTTTGTGTTGAATAGCACATATTGCTTCTCTACTGTTTAAAAGCATTTTTATTTTTAAAAATTACGTTTAGATATGTTTGGTAATAATTAAAAGCGTTTTTTTAACAATAATCAAATTTAACTTAGTAGAACGTGCTTTTGAATGAAATTAGAATTTACAGCTTTCAAAATTGCACTATGAGTAGAGGTTAAATATTTTATAGGTAACTCTTTTTTATTAGACAATTTTGTTATTTTTATTTTTTATAAAGACAATAATTACACTCATTCCTTAATAAAGTTATTATTATCAAATACGGTAACATCAAATGATATTATTTGTGAAAAATATTTATTATAATATATCACCAAACACCTAACATTTTTTTTACTCACAGCAATATTTTGACAATTCCACTAATAAAAGCGTTTTTTTAATTCCAACAACAATTTTAAACGGAATCTAACATAAAAGGAGGGGGGGAGTCATACCATACTTAACCTGGGTCCTCATTTTTTAGTGGGTGAGTCCTATATTAGCAACAGTATTAGGAAAATTCGACTATACTCACTAGTGAGGATTTACTGTGGATTAGTAATAAATGGACCTAATTATTGTACAGAAAAATTAGTGCATTTACTAATATTGACAACATATGTCTGCTACTACAAAAATGATAACCAAACAGATACGAACCTCAACCAAAACAAGAAAATGATGATAACAACTGTGATAATATGGTCATTTGGGACTTTTTAACTGCCAAAAATTCCTCCATTTTATCAAGTAGTCTCTCAAATCCTTATGAAATGTAATTCCTTCTTCTTCCTTCTGTTGCTAGTAAAAGAAGTTATATTCCATCAACCACACTTTCGTTCTTTACCGAAAGAAATTGTTTTCTAGTTCTCATGTTTTTTTGGTATGCATTTTTTAATTGTTATTCGTTTGTCTATTTGTGAAAAAAATTATAAAAGTGGTTGCCACACCTCAGAGTTCCTGAAAGGTCTACACAAAGTTCCAAGGATTGTCAAATCTAACGTAGAGACAAGGACACAAATGTTAGATGAAAAACTTTATAACGTATGCTTACATCTTAGGAAGTACGGATACGAACAAAACAAATCTCAAAAAAAAATATAATAAGAGTACAATATGAATATGTCAAAAATAATATATATTTTTATCATTTTACCCATATTATAAATAACTCAATAATTTGGAGTTAGAGCTAAATGTTTGTTATTTTTGTTTTTTAAAATTTTTTATATATATTTTTAAGTAACTCATAATATATTTTAACTTGCATTGAATTTTATTTTTTTTTTCAAAAAAAATACAAAATCACCTGTTGTATTTTGAAAGTGTCCAAAACGAATCCTTGTCATATCCATGTGGTGTCCTGACCGCATCCGATAAGAAAAGAAAATATTCACTATTAAAGATACTTTAGTCGTATCTGACAAGTGCTCGAGCCATATTTTGAAAGTATTTAATACTGCCACGACACATTTAGAGAAGTACACTTGCTTAATTTCTAGCTTACCGCTTCAGTTCTTGAGGCTAATGGATCAGTAGGAGAGACTTGAAACAATGCTAACAAGAAAAACCATACATGTTTAATTATAAACAATTCTCTCTTTTTCCCACAAAATCAAACAACAATAAAACATCATACATTATAAGAGATTAAAAACCAAAATTGAAACATCTATCAATAAATCAAATCAAGAAAAATAAATAAATAAATTAGTAAATACTTGCATGAAATATAAAGAAATACAATATATATATCATTTTCCAATAAGAAGAAATCCAGATTAAAACTCAAAACTTTCTTCAATGGTTTTACAAAGGACAAAGTTCTACACCGTGGACGAAGAGGATTGTCCATGGCGTGGATGGAGAGAGAGTACGTCATTTGAAGAGAGTGATAGTTGCCCTATACTGAAAGGAGAAAGGAGTTAAAAGGTCATCGATTTGGAATTAATTCCAAATGATTTTCCCAAGTTTGGACCGTTTGGTCAGTAACTTATTTTTGTAAGATTTTGAGAACTTATCATTTTATATAATTTTAATTTTAAGATAATATTTATGTCCTCGCTAACGAGGATCTTCAACATTCTCACTGTGAATTAACAATAAATTGACATGTAATATTTAATTACCAAATCATAAATGGTAATCAAATCACTATCTGGTAAGTGAGGTAATTAAAAGTCACATGTTATTTTATTATTGGTTCACATTAACGATAAATATGTTATAAATCCTCACCTACAAGGACATAAGTATTATCCTTAATTTTATGACAACCAAATACCTAAAAATGCTAAAAATATATTTCAAATTTTTTTTACATCGAAATAAACAAGCTTAGTTAAGTAGAGCCGCTTGTGATGGATTTAGTGGATCTTTTTTTTTCTCTCTGGGTCGTCTCGGACCTTGCGTTTGGGACTTTTTATTCTTTCATTTTCCCATATCTCTTAGGGAGCACTGTTAAAAAAAAAAACAAAAACCTTTCCATATATGAATCTCCTGAATCCAAACACGTCCCGTTAAAAAATTTATCATATCAACTCCGCCTTCACTTCAGAACGAGTTTGTAATTGTTATACCATCTCCGTCTCTATTCCGATAGACAAATACTGACTCCGCCTTATGTACTGTGTTTAATTGCGAGGTGCGGTGGGAGTGAGTCGAGTTATGTCACTTTTATTATGTTATAAAAAAATTAGCCCAATGTGCCGAAATTGAACTGATAAATAAGCTAACCCAATTTTTAAATTATTAAATTGTGAATATTAATATATTCACAATACTTTTACTAAAGTAACAATAATCTTAAAAATATAAAATATATATAAAAAAATTAAAAGATAAATATATAACTGGAGCAGGTCAGGGCAGGATCATTTTTAATTAATACTCGTCCTAAACCCACTTGAAGTTTTTAATTAATACTCGTCCTAAACCCACTAAATCCATCCCAGGGCGGGGCGTGGCGGAAACCCACAGGTCCGAGGAAATTTCCATCCCTAATAGGTCCGTGCTAATCCGTCTCTATAGTATATATTCACAGATATATGTGTAGCCGTTCTTGTGATTTTTAAATGGGGGAAAATGGTGGAAGCACCGCCTCTTCCGATGACCAGACGAAACCCATATCAAAGATGGTGTCAGTAGATGAAGCTCTCCAAACAGTACTGAGTGTGGCCCAGCGACTGCCACCTGTCACGGTGCCCCTTCACGAAGCTCTGAGCAGGGTCTTAGCCGAGGACATCAGAGCTCCTGACCCTCTTCCTCCTTTCCCTGCATCGGTTAAGGTCCGTCCCATATCTGTATATATGTGTCTATACAACTGTATGTGTATATGTCTACAAACTTGATATATACTTTTACAAGCCTGCCAAAGTGGTTTTGTTTTGACTTGTTGATAATTGAATTCATAAATTTTGATCTATGGTGATTCACATAGCGTGAGTGGTGAATAGTGATATGTCTAATGGATACTAAATCTAAATTGTTCGGTGATTTTTTAGGGAGTTATGCTGATTGTGATTTGAGTTTTAGTTTTTGAATCCGACCATCACATAATGCATGAGCAGAGACAACAAAGTTATGTGAAAAACCCTAAAGAGAGAAAAACTATGGGACCTCGTTCAGTTAAGAACAATATAATGTATGAGAAAGAAGTTACAAGTAGGTTAACTGTTCCCTCCCCGTAGAATCTCTAGGTACTTGTTGACACAAACTCACGAAAAACTTTTCACTCGGGTTTCCAGGCCGTCCGTTCACTCTGTCAACAAATTTCGCTCCTCACGAATATGCTTCTCAAATGGTTGTCCTTCCTTTTGCTCAAAATTTTGATCAGTTGAATTTGAATGCTTCACATATGATGGTGTTGAAGGAACCATCGATCGAGTAATTGGAAATTTCTCTCTCTATGGAGGATTAGAGGCTTAAAAACGCACTCTTGACTGACTATAACCTCATATTTACTGCCAATCTGAACGGCTCGATCAATCGAGGCATTGATAGGCACCTACTGGCAAGGTGCTCGATTAAGTATACTAGAAATTAAAAATGATTTATGGAAAAATTCTATCAATCCACCTATCAATCGAAGTCTACTGAAGAGCCCTTTGAAGAGCCCTTTGATCGATTGACCACTCAATTGACACACATTGTTTTTCAATAAAAGTTGATTTTAAAACCTACTAAAAGACCAGTACTTTGAAAAGCCATTTATAAAAAACAAGTTTAAACAAGTATTTTGAGATTCTTCAATGTCAAAACTAGTATATCCAAGATTTTTATAAGGTCATTTACAGATGCTTTGGAAGTGATTGAGCATACGGATTTCTTGCTGTGTTCTTTGCAAATCTTTTTCTGCGTTGTCTTTAATGGTTGCACGCATATGAATTAAGACACTTTGACACGTTACAACCAGAGTTTTGAGTAAGACAATGCCAACATGTTACTCTTTGTTATTTGATAAGTAAATATTCATTGAAAGCACTCAAAAGGGGAGTGCATCCCAAATGTAAGTACACAAACCAAAAAACTTATATCGTCAAACTATCCACAAAAGACAAAAGATTCTCCATAAATGTACAATTTTTCCGTTGAACCCAAATGAATAAAGAACTAAACACAGAGCATTTCAACACCCCTATCGGAGTCTTCACCCCATCAAAGTATTTCCTATTCCTCTCCCACAAAGTCCGCTATAAGCACAGGGGGCAACCCTCTAAGCATCTCTGGCTCGGGATCCAACTGAACAACCTCTCTAAGACTCAAGGAGCTTTTCGTGGATTCCGTCTCTCCAACACGTGACTTATTTGTAACAGGGGCTGTTAATTAGGATTTCTTGGTTGCTTCTTGAAGTATTATTGGTTCTATTGGGTACCGTAAAACTAAAAAATCTGATAAATTAGGTGAAGTTGATACATAAAGTAATAGTAAACACTTTCTTCCTCTAAAATTTATCAGTAATGTTGAACAAAAGTGCCCATTTTTATTGTGCTAGAATCACTACTCTTGGCTTGACTCCAGGTTTGTGTCATTGCGACTCATCCCACATTTCCCTGTTTATTTAAGCCACTAGTGTGTTAGTTATGAAGTAAAACTCTTAGGGCAATTGATAACGAACATCACATCATGTGACAGTGTGGCTAGCAGCGGAGCGGTATATCCCGGTTTGGAGCGGTTTGAGTCCTATGCGGTTCTCGGTGAATGAGATGTATTGTAATAAAAAAATGGTTTGACCACCACAGTCGAGGAGGTATGTGATCAAATTCTAGGATCCTAGTGAACATGGAAATTAACTTAGGATGCTCCACTTTGAGACTGGAGAATAGGTTTGGCAACTATAGGAGCTAATATAAGAAAAAAATGATTAAATGGTTTGATCATGTCTAGTGAAGGTCAATACCTGCACCGGTTAGGAAAAATGATGTGTTCCTTATTGAGAAAAATTGCTATATGAAGGTATTGAGATAGTTTGGAAAGATATGATAGCATGTGGTTTAACTTAAGTTATGGCCTTAGATGGTATGAAATAAAGAAACAGGGTTCATGTAGCTGATCACAAATAGCTAGAAAAGGCTTTGTTGCATTAGACTGGGTTTCTTTCCTTCCAACATATTTGTGGTTTTGGAATATTTTTGAGGCTATTTTCAAAATCTTGGAAGATATTATACAGCTTCTAATTTTTCCAGTGTTAATATGTTTTACCTTATATTTATTTATTTATATATATTTTTTGTTAGCTCTTTCAAAGATAATGGCGGATCTATTACTGCACAAATGCGTAGCCTAGTTTGGTTCTGATTACAAGTTATTTCGCTTTTATGCAATGCGGATGCGGGATTTGATTACAAGTTATTTTGCTTTTATGCAATACAGGTTCTGATTACAAGTTATTTGGCCTCGTTTGGCTGTTATTTGGCCTCGTTTAGTTTTTATAATTTAAGTTTTCCCTGACTCATAATCCATTCGGTTTCTTTAATGGATGTGTTTTTACAGGATGGCTATGCAGTAGTTGCCTCAGATGGACCTGGGGAGTATCCCATTATTACTGAATCAAGAGCAGGAAATGATGGAGTTGGAGTCACCATAACTCCTGGAACTGTTGCATATGTAACGACTGGAGGTGCGCCTATTTATAGTGTATCTACACACGCTTGTTGGTAAACTTGCTATCACGTGTGGCATCTCTTTAGACAACATGCAAAGTCCTTGTCTTAAAAAAGTATTACAATAAATATTATGATATTCGCTTGAAGGTAAACTTGTTATTCCATGTGGCATCTCTTTTAGACAACTGGCAAAGTCCTTATCTAAAAGGAAGTACTACAATTATTTAAGTTTTTACTTGGTGGTGGTGCCGTTGGATGACTTGCACTTTCTACTGGGTTTGGAATTGTTGCGGAAGACAATAGTTGAAGTGGTTTGACCCTCATTATAAGTGAATAATGTTTTTTCAAAGAGAGAAATAAATGAAAAGTAAACAAATCCCCATTTGTCCCGTGTACAACACTGCTGTTGCATCTGAAATATCAACCATTTGATGTAGAAAATCCATTTATATTGATTGTCACATTGATTTCATACCGTCCCTCTTCCCTAACTACATACAAGATACACAACTTATTAGTTAACTTTCTTGTCTATATTTTTAGTTGTATTGTTGCTACTGTAAATCAGTTTTCTTCAATGGTAAATGGCTAAATGTTATCATTTCTAGGTCATGTTGTACGTAGACTGGGCAAATTTCTACCTTTTCTTATAGGTTTGGTATAATTAGATTTCATTCATTATATTATATTAGTTAAGCTTTTGTTTCATTTCCGAAATCTGCTGTGATATAGACTTTTTTTTTTTTTTTTTGAAACTTATATAGCCTTTTATTTATTAGAAATCATGTGACATTTTATTTGGCTTTGGTATACAAGTTTTGCTATGGACGACCTTAATTTACCAAGGAAACGGTAGAAGCTGTGCATTCTATTTTTTCGGTGTTAATAATAAGATGGATTATATGAACTTTTGCATAAGAAGTCCTCTAATGAATCAAACTGATTTAGTTATTAATTCTTTTTATAGAATTCGCTTTAGAATTTTTAGTCTAGGTTCGCTAATTGGAGCTTCACTGCTCATCCTTTCCAGCGTAGCTTCATTTTTTCCTCGTTTTAGTAATAAATAAAATAATATATTCTGTTGGTATACTATCATTATTGAACCCATGTTAGCCTTATTGATGGCCCTCAACGCAACAATTCAAAAGAAAAAATTAACAAACTTTATAGTTTGATCAAATCATCATATTTTTGGTTCGAACTAATTATTGTTGAAGGTTTTTGAATATGATACCTGCCAATATTTTGCATAGAACTATATTCCAGCTTGTATGTAGTTACATGCTGTTGTGCATGTTGGTTGGAATGCTCACTCATTGTATTGGAAATTAAAGATATTTGAATGTCTTGTGTGAATGTTTTTATACTACGTTCTTATACATCCTCTCACTGCAAAGCTCTTGGGTGAAAACAGACTCAGCAATTTAAATCCTTATTTATTTATTTATTTTTATGGGGGAGGGGGCCGGGTTTCAAACTAAATTTATTGAGGGAATTTTTTTTTTTTTTTTTTTTTTTTTTCTGAAATTGGTACTGGTATGAACAACAGGGGCTGGCTACATCTAAGTAGCAATGGCTGGAGGAAATCCTGTTTAGTTTTGTCAGATATTTTACTTTTACTTTTTTGTTTATGTTTTGGAACCTTTTCTATTATTTTTGTATTAAAGTATAAATGTAATTTTTTCCGGTAAGTAAAATATATACATTGTCAGATGATAAGTTTTAAGTGGATATTAGTGTTGTTAAAGTTACTTAAGAAAGCTCTTGGGTGAAAACAGACTCAGCAATTGTGGTATAAGAGCATTGTTAGATGCTCTTATACATCCTCTCACTGCAAAGCTCTTGGGTGAAAACAGAATCAGCAATTTATTTCCTTGTTTATTTATTTATTTTTTTGGGGGAGGGGGCCGGGTTTCAAACTAAATTTATTGAGGGAATTTTTCTGAAATTGGTGCTGGTATGAACGACAGGGGCTGGCTACATCTAAGTAGCAATGGCTGGAGGAAATCCAAGTTTCCTGAAGCATGATTTATTTGGAAAAGGTTTTCATGCTTACACTGGGACAAATGCTATTGATACTCTTTTAATTTGGCGATTACTTGATAGGAATTTGACAAATTAGGCCTCAGAATATCTTAGATAGATGAATTTTGACTCTTTATTGGTGGGCTTAGGGGGGTTGAACTAATGATTGTTGAGAAGGTATTCGGTGTGCCCGGTGCACCGGGCACATCAGAGCCTTTCCTGCACAACACACCCGGGCGTCTGCACAACACGCGTGGGAATGGACAGCTCCAATGGCCCAGGGCACACCAAATACATTGCTATGATTGAGTCCATGTACTAGAAATGCTTAAAACCTGATAAGGGAAACGATCAAGTTGTGATCACTTGTGCAAAAAAAGGGGTTTTTTCATAAATAAAAAAACTTTTTATTTTTATTTTTTATTTCAGTCACTTATTGTGGTCCCCAACTTTTGGGAATTTGAATTATTTCTTTGTTTCATATTAATTTCAAAAATAAATTTTATTTTTTTCCATTCTTAGGACCGATACCTGAAGGTGCTGATGCGGTTGTTCAAGTAGAAGATACTGAACTAATAGAAGGTGATTCAGTTGAATCAAAGCGAGTAAGAATATTGGAACAGACAATCCAAGGAGTTGATATTCGTCCAGTGGTATGATTTTGTCACTTGTAGCTATGCTCTTGACACCATAGAAATTGAGTACTTGCTTATAGAGTCTGATTTTATAGATTTTAGGTGCCACACGACATTTTGCAACTACATTGTAGAAGTATGTGAAAGATATTCAAAACGACAAGAGTGACAGTAAGGTGGCATATTGACCTTTTACAACTACATTGTAAAAGTATGTGAAAAAAAATCCAAAACGAAAAAGAGCAGCAGTAATAATATAATAAAACGTAATGGAGCACATATGAGCAAATTCTGGTAGCAATGCCAATGCTTAAGGAGCATTGTAATAGGTAGCTTTTGCAACAAATATCTTCATTCTTATGTTGGTTAAACAGAACAAATGTCAGGACTTACATTCTTTTGATGGTCAAAGAGGAAGATATATAGTTAGTGATATGGAAAAATATTAATAGGAGGGATACCTTGAAAACCGGATTTTTCAATGGTTCATGTGTTTTATGTGATTAGTTGTTTTGAAATGTTTACTTAAATTCTTCATGAAGCATCTTGACAATCGTAATTTGAGGGGGAGGAGTGCAATTCTCTTGGAGTGGTATAAGAAGGCAGGAGTCTTAGCCATATGCCTGTTGATGACCGCTCGCCAGCGCCGGTGATTATCACTTGATATCTGCAATGATTTCCTAGCACAAGCGGTCATACTTCTCAACTATTTTCACGTTGCCGGCGAGTCTAGGCTAAGAAATAGAGGGTTCAAGGTGATCATAGTTTCCATGAGCTCTCCAGATGGGTTCTCTTCTTTTGCCGTGCTTCACACAATAACCACTGGGATTATTTGTGACCAAATTGGTTCCTCAAGGTTGAGTTCCATTTTGTTTTTTTTGGTGTTTTATAGTCCCCATCTTTCCTTCTATGCAGTTAAATGGTTTGGAGGCTCTGCTCACGGTTTGAGGTTTTCTAGCTCCTTCATGACCTTTGGCTGATTCTTCTTCTTTCTAGTGATGTCATGGCTATAACATATGCCGGGGTTCTTATGAAAGGAGTGCGTTGTACAGTGTGTGGTTCCTAGAAGCTTAGAATTGATTGTTAATGTCGGTTAAGGTTTTTCAGAAGACGAAGAGTGAGATCCATTCGTGGTTATTGCACGTTGGTTAATGTAGTGATGTGTTGTACGCTGAACATGTGGACAAGAATGTTCCAACCTGAAATTAATATATCCCTGAAAGTATTTTCATATTTAAACCAAATATTGAAAACTAAGAAAAAGAAACTTATTTTACATGTAAAATGTTTCACATAAAATAGATTTTACAGTAAAAGATATTTTGAAACAAATGGAACACTAGTTGAGGTATAAGAAAGGTGAAAGAAAGAGTGTCAAACAAAAGCATATTGGCTTTTAAGCAATTGGCTTCCATTAAAAAGGGATGATAAAGTATTGATATGATATTTGTCTTATTTGAAAAGATCTGTTTCTGTGGTACAATTCATTTTCCAAAGAGGTACAGGGGGAATCTTAAAGGTTCCAAATTGGCTGTTGTTACAGATGACCCACTTATAATTGAATTTTGCAAATCAATGCAAGTGCCGTGTTTTCATTTGGACCGTGTTAGGTATTGCTAAGTCTATGGCTCATGCACAAGATGTTCTCTACTTGATACTTTGATAAAATAATTTAATTGGTAGATCAACCCCCACCATCTAAGATATTTGCAAAAGTAATCCTTTATGAAGCAATGCTTTCATCAGAATAGTAAAATGAGAACTTGACAAGCGGATTGATTTTTCTTTTTGTAACTTCAGAGCTATAGTACCTTTATTTTTCATGTAGCTGTTCCTATTTTTTCCCTAATGATAATCCTCTTCTGTGTGCTCTGATATATGTTCAATCTGGTAGAATTCTTAAACCGTTCTGTAAAAAATTCTTGGCCAGGGATTCGACGTTGAAAAGGATGCTGTAGTATTGAAATCTGGAGAACGATTAGGTGCTGCGGAAATCGGCCTACTTGCCACTATGGGTGTAATTATGGTTAAGGTAGGAGAGGACTTGTTTTCTTATAATTTTTTATTCTCTCTTTTCTTTTTTTTTTTGGTCCAAAAAATTCTCATTGGGTTGTAGAAATATCTGAGAAGCTGATTGCGAATGCCATTATGCAGGTATATCCTACCCCGACAATTGCTGTGCTTTCCACCGGTGATGAACTCGTAGAGCCAACAATTGGGTATTTAGGTCGCGGCCAGGTACTGCAAGGTTTTAGGATAACCAACCTTTTCTTGTTGACTGTAGGTTTCTTTGGCTTGAGTTTAGGATTAAAGTCTGCTATGGATTCGACATGCAGTCTTGAGAAATTCTACAGGGAGGACCAAACAATAATGAGGTGGCATATGCATATAATTAGATAGATTACAATGTTCCATGACCTAGGTTGACATTTATCAATCAGTATCAACATAAAATGAAGGGTAAACTACAATGACCTCCCCTGAGGTTTGACCTAATTGCAAATAAACCGAAAGTTTGCCATGTTTTTTGCAATGACCTCCCTATGTCAGATTTTGTGGTGAATTTACTTATCTATTCTCATTATTGTATTGTTAATAAATACTAAAATATTTGACTATGTTAAATTACAACTTTGCCCACATTAAAAAAATTAATTTTTTTCCTCATATTCTCTCTTCCTTCTCTCCCCCCTCTCCACCACCGACCACACCACCTCCTCCCACCACCATCACAGGCCATCTCAACAACTCTGATACCAACAAATCACACACACACAAACACACATTTTTTTTATTTTTCTTTAGCTATTCTGCCTTTACCCTACACCACCATTAGATAAATTTTTACATTTAACGCTCGTTGCACCAGCAACAGTAAATCATCTCAGCCAAATAACTTTCTTGTGCCTCTCAAACCCCTTATCAGAAACCCCAATTTCAAAGATGGCAATGACCATGTACACACAAAAAAATAACAAACCCTAAATTTTAGATGAAAACTATCAGATCCATTAATGCTTATTGTCTTGACTCACCGTTGTCATGGAAGATTTCAATGGCCTCACTGGAAATCACAAATTCCTTCCAAGGCTTGAAGATTTGAGGTAGGTTTACATGGTTATTTATATCCCATCGATAGTCTATTTTATCCTATCGCCGGCGATTCCTTTTGCTGGTGTGCAATCCGGATCCCATCCCTCGGCCATTGATTTCTTCGCAATAAGATCAATCTCAATAAAATCAGTACTGGGATTTTGGTATTGCTGATGTAGAGACATTAGAAGGGATTCTGATCGTCTGATTCACCGGTGGTTGGGTGAGGTAGTGAGAAGGTGTCAACAAGGGTTTTAAGGCGGACGGCTTGTTGTTTTTTTTTTGTTGTTGTTGTTTTCTTCCTCCAATCCTTATTTATCTCTCCTCTGTTCTCTCTTTGTTCTCAACTTCTCTCTCTTCCTCCTCTTACCGCCCCAACCACGGACCCCTCCTCCCACCACCATCGCCGCCACAACTTCCACCAAACCACCCCCAACAACTGCCACTGTCTACTCTACCCTCAAATCACCATCACCACTCAAATGCCTAGCACCACCACTACGTTGCCCATCTCAATTTGCCCACTGGCCAGCGAAATTCAGGTCGCCGGCGAGGGGCAGTGGGAATGATTACATCTCTGTATTCAGCAACTGCTTAAAGCGAAAAGACTCTCCCCAAACATAGCGAAGGCACTAAGTTTGTAAAGGTAATTACATGTGAATAGCTTAAGCATTTTATAATGCCTATTTTCTGTTTACTTGAAAATACCCCAAAAACGGTACATATTATGTCACTAGACATTTTAAATGTATAAAGATTGAATCTTTGAAAGAAAATGAGTGTTTTGAGTTAAACTTATTCGAGTTCCCTTTGACGTCCCGAATAGTGTTTAAATGAGTAAAGATTGAATCTTTGAATGAAAATTCCTCAATGAAGGTACCTATTATGCCACCAGACCATTTTAATGTATAAACATTAAAATCTTTGAAAGAAAATGAGAGTTTTGAGTTAAACATATTCGAGTTCCCTTTGACATCCCGAAGAGTGTTTTAATAAGTAAAGATTGAATCTTTGAAAGAAAAGGAAAGTTCTGAGTTAATCTTATTAGAGTTCGCTTTGTCGTCCCGAAGAATGTTTTAATGAGTAAAGATTGAATCTTTGAATGAAAATACCTCAATAAAGGTACCTATTCTATCACTAGACCTTTTTAATGTATAAAGATTGAATCTTTAAAAGAACATGAATGTTTTAAGCCAAACTTATTCGAGTTCTCCTTGACGACTTGAAGAGTATTTTAATGGGTAAAGATTGAAACTTTGAATGCAAATACCTCAATTAAGCTACCTATTATGTCACTAGACCATTTTAATGTATAAAGATTAAATCTTTGAAAGAAAAGGAGAGTTTTGAGTTAAAGTTTTTCGAGATCCCTTTGACATCTCGAATAATGTTTTAATGAGTAAAGATTGAATCTTTGAATGAAATTACCTCAACCAAGGTATCTCTGTTTAAATATCATCCATTTTAATTTGGTTTGTTAAATTATTTCCTTTATATAAACATTTTTTTTATTTAATTTATCATGTCAAATTTTTTTTTTTTTTTTTTTTTTTTTTAACGCCAATCATGTCTTGGGATAGAATTATCAAGAACTTGGCCGCACTTAATTTTGTATAGCAAGACTCACTTGCTTCCGACAGGAAGAAAAGAAAAGAAAAAAAAGACTTGTATTCTAAATCAATATTTTGAACATTATCTAAGTTATATTGCAGCTTAGTTAAATTTAAACTTATTTTTTCTATTATTTAAGAAATAAGAACAAAGTTTAGTATCTTCCATATGCAGCATACCCAAAAAAAAAAAAAAAAAAAAATCATCTGGTGCTAATATATTTAGATAATCAATTGTGCATTGTTTAGAGGGAATGCAATTTATTTACTTTATTTTCATAGTTAAACTTGTCTATTTGATGAAATAATTCGTGGAAGATTTTCTCCTTGAGTAGTAAATTTTTCCATGCTTGGTTATGTGAATAAATGGGAACTGACCCATTTGCAAACATATATTTACATATGGAGGGGAATGGTGGCAGTGATGGGTGGGTAAAGGGAGGGAGGGAGGGAGGGAGGGAGAGAGAAGGGGGGGGGGGGGGGGGGGTGGAGAGGGAGAGAATGTTATTATAGTCTATTAAACATGGTTTTTTTTTTTTTGTTATTTTATGAAACTATTAAGGGTAGTAGGGTCTTTTTGCTTAGTTAAAGGGTATTTTGGTCACTTCACCTACTTTTTCTGACAAAAAGTACTGATTTTTGTACGGAGGGGAGGTCTATGCAAAATTGGGCAAACCTCAGGGGACACTCTCCAAAAAAAAATACAAACCTCAGGTTTATTTGCAATTAGGCCAAACCTCAAGGGAGGTTATTGCAGTTTACCCTAAAATGAAATAGTGATATATCAAACTTTATGTAGAAAAATAGCTCAAAGTTTGAAGGTGGTTTAAAGATATGAGGAAATCTCAAAATATTAGACAAAATTCTGAATTAATTCAGAATTTTGTAAGTTGTGGGTACACGACTTCTGTGCTAGACTTGGCATTTAAGTAAATGACCTTATCCTTGAGGGAACGGACTGGCACCCTAGGCTCTGATATGGTCAGAGTACACACAGTTCAGTAATTCAATTCCAACCTAGGGAGGGGTGAATTGGTGAAACTCCGAGTTGGAAAAGAGACCGGAAGATTGTGAAGGCTTCATTCAGCCTTAAAGCAATCGAAATCCATGGATACAACTGTCAATAGCTGATTTTTAAAATTCAAATTTACTTTGTTCAAATTCTAGTTGAATCACGTGTCTGAATCACAGTACAATCACAAAAAGTTATAAAAATAAAGCAGAGACACGGATTTTTATGTGGAAAGCCCTGAAAAGGGAAAAACCATGGGATTTCTGTCCAGACACACATAATCCACTATAGAAAAAGGTTTACAACGCTAAGTATCGGACTCTTATCCTTGGATTTGCCCAATTACCTTTAGTCCTGATTCAGGCCAGTTGTTCAATCACGAAAACTGCTGCTGAGGATCAACAAACTTGTTCACTAACAAAGTCTGCTCTCCTTTGGTTGTAACATATCATATGTTTGATTAATTGTCTATTTTTTTTTTTTTTTTTTTGTTTTGTTTTGTTTTGGCTTGCAACGACAAAGCAATAAATGGAAAATGACTCTCCCCAGGGAATAATTGCAGCTCCATGTATCCACACTGTGCCAATCATTATCCTATTTTTGCACTCTCTCTTATAAATCAGTGTTGCTGTTAATTTGCTATCTTATATATTTGTAGTTTTTCCTGTTTAGTTGACCAAGTCCCTTTGCAGATAAGAGACTCCAATCGTGCCATGATCCTTGCTGCTGCAGCACAACAGCAGTGCAAAATTCTTGACCTAGGTATAGCTTGTGATGTTGAAGAAATGATTGAGAGTGCTTTGGATGGTGCCTTTTCTGCTGGAGTTGATATTCTTTTGACTTCTGGAGGTGTTTCCATGGGAGATAGGGATTTCGTCAAGCCTTTGCTTGAAAAGAGAGGAAAAGTATATTTTAATAAGGTAAACTGATGACCTTTTCTTCTTCTTCAATAATGCTTACTTATGTATCTTTATTGCTTCATTTTTAAAATTCTCTGCCTGATCCCTATTATTAGTAGACCGTCATTTGCAATCTTTAGATTGGAGCATTGCTCTTATGTACCTTCTAGTATCAAGAATTGGATCAAGTGACTCTGATTTTTGGTGCTTCAGAAGATCTCGTGTATGACTTGAATGATCTTCCTTTGGTATTGGTTGTCCATTCAGGTTTGCATGAAACCAGGAAAGCCTCTTACATTCGCTAAGATCATTAAAGAATCACCAGGAAATGCGGCAGCCAATGAGATTCTTGCATTTGGATTACCTGGAAATCCAGTAAGCTGTTTAGTATGTTTCCATCTCTTTGTGGTCCCTACTGTTCGCCGTCTTGCTGGATGGGCCAACCCTCACCTTCCAAGGTTGCTGCACTTTTGAAATCTCTGTTCCCCAAAACCCCCAACACACACCCCTACTTGTACTCTTAACGCTATAATTTATTTCCTTTTTCTATTGTTTCGTGTACAGAGTACATGCTCGCCTTAAACATTCGATAAAGACAGATTCGGTCCGTGCAGAATTTCAGCGTGCCATTATTAGATGGGATGCGAATGATGGATCAGGCAGTCCTGGGTGAGAGTTGAATTTCTTTGTAGCTGGGTATTATCTTCTAGTGACAGGATTCTTCCAGGGCATACCGTTCTGTTGATCATTCCATGTTTAGGGTTGCATAGCCGAATTGAGGCTGGACTTGCCACAGTCAGAGAGCTGTTAAGAGCTCGGTTCATGTTCGGTCTATCTGAGCTCAGCTTGTTAACACATATTTAATCTGTATATGTGGACATATATACACACACAGACATAATTAACTATATAGAATTATATCTATGTTTTGTATGATTATATATTTTAAACATACCTAACTGCTGCACTGATTGATGAAATCACCACAGATCTTGTGAGCTGATTTTTGATCTCCACAGTCTCATGTGACCTAATGTCTACGTCCACCGTTGATCCCTTTCTTTTTTCTTTTTGGGGTGGGGGGGAGAGTGGATCTCAATTGTGGTGTCGTTGCAATCACGGATGATTGGGTTGCTAGATGGGTACTTGCTTTGGAGAATCGCTGCTAGGGTTTGGTGTTTAGAGAGGAGAAAGATAAGATTAGGGTTGTCTAGATGTGGGTATCCTTTAATATCTTGCACTGAATTATTGGGTTCAATTTGTGGGAGAGATGAGATAGGTTTGGTCTTTTGGCTTTCTTTGTGAGTGGGGCTTACTGGTTCTTATTTTAATGTGGATGTAGATTTGGATTGAGCTTCTATAGTTTATATGGGCCTAAGCTTATACTCTATAAGAAATTAAAACATACTAGACGTTAAAACCGAATGACTTTACAGGCTTGTTCGGTCAAAAACTGAATAACTTTTCAGGCTCGTTCATGAGTCCATACGAGCAGAGCTCTGTGTTGTTCAGACTCAGCTTGTTTCCTAATGCTCCGTCTGGTTGGAGAGATGGAAAAATGGATGAAAGGGAGAGGAGGGGAAGGGATGGACGAGGCACCCTAGGGAAGGGACTTTGTCTCCCTCACTTTTTGTTTGGTCGGATGGAATGGATGGTAGAAAGGATGGATGGGGTGACACTTTTTTTCTTTGGTTGGAAGGAAGGGAAAGAGAGTTTTTATATTCTTTTTACCAATATACTCTCATCATATAAAATTATAAAAATTAGATATTCATTTCAACTTTTTGGGAAGGTTAAAAATTAAAACTATATATTTGTGGTAATTATCAATTATTTCTTTTTCTTCTTACCCCCAATTTTGAGTGGATAGAAAAATACGATCCCTCCCTGCTTCCTCCCTCTTTTCCCTTCCCTCCAACCAAACATGAAAAAATCCTTTTATTTCCCCTCTCAGCCATCCATCCTCAATCCTTCCCTCCAACCAAACATAGCATAATAGATTCTGGGAAATGAACTTGAGCTCATCTTGTTTGCATTATGACTGAACATGAGTTGAACATCTTATGTGCCGAGCCTTGGCCGTCTATGAATGATTTTGTTCATTTGCAGCTCATTTAAGTTCTTGATACGTCAATGAATATCAATGGGATAAAGATTATTGTGTTTTTTTATGGTTTGTTTCAGATTTGTTGCTGAGAGCACTGGCCGTCAGATGAGTAGTCGGCTTTTGAGTATGAAATCAGCAAATGCTTTGTTGGAACTGCCAGCATCACGCGGTGTTATATCTGCTGGAACTTCTGCAACAGCCATCATAATTTCTGATTTAAGTGGTTTATCTGTGAGCGAGAGTTTTTCATCACCAGACTCAGGTTGTGCTGTACAGGGAAGTATGTCACAACAAGCAACTGCAGATGATTCTCGAGGTTCTGAATACAGAGTAGCTGTACTCACTGTGAGTGATACTGTTGCGTCTGGGGCAGGGCCTGATCGGAGGTATTCTGCTTTATATTCTGTATCTAATTGGATCTTTGTCTTGATTTAGAACTTTTCGTAATTGCCTCGCATTTATGGATGTTTACCATTTTATCTTAATAGTTAATCATATCTTCAGTGTCTAAATTTTTGTTTCAACTCAAAATTTTGCAGTATATCACATGTATGAACATCAAAGTATTTGTTCACTTTTATCATATGTATGAACATAAAAGTGGAAGGAAAGGAATGGGAGATCCTTCGAGGGAGAGGACACTCCTATTAGTGTGCTTAAGTTCTATATTCTTCACACTTTATTCTTTTGGTTTCGGGGAAGATTTTGTACATCTATAGGGGAGAGAGTGGATCTTGTTGATACTTAGTGTCTAAGGGCCCTATTTGGTCCTCGTGTAGTTCCTGGAATGTGCTCCCCTTTTGAGCGCTGTCTATAATATTTTACTTATCAAAAAAAGAAAAAAGAAGAAGAAAGTATTTGCTCACTTTTCTCAGCACATATACGTTCTTAGTAGTCTGGGCAAGGCAATTTTCTCAATCATTTATTAAAACTGTCAGATGCTGCCTTTGTTTCCTTGAGGCTTTTTCCTTTTCAGCCTTTCTGTTATAGTTTTTTTCCCCTTGTTTTTGGGTGTATTTGATTTGATTTGATTTTGACTCTTCTGAACATGGTTAAGTATCTGGTCATCCAGGGATGTTTCTTTGATATACTGGTATTCAGATCCTCTGGTGAACCATCTTTGTGTTTTGTCAAGCTGGGTACCCTATTTGAGTACGTCTCTGCCATGTTTTGACTTCATATTTACCCTTTTGTAATCTTTTGAACAGACATAAAAAATATTTTTTTGAATTTTATTCTCAATTTACTGTCAAAGAAGAAGTGAAAGTTGGTTTAGTGGTATGTGCAGGAAGTGTGTCTCCTTCGGAGAATTAGAAGTTTAGGGCATGTAGAAGCATGTCTGATTTGTATATGGTGTAATGAAATATCATTTAAATATATAGTGGAAGAGTCAATATCTTATGTAGCAAGTAGGAAAGGATGTTACCTCTCTTTTTCAAATAAAAACGATATGGACAAGAAAGCAGTTAGTATACTATCTTTATAAAACTTTATATGCGAGTTGAATGCCATTTTTGTATCTTTTATATTTTTACTAATATATGGAAGTATTTGTGCTTCATAAAAGGATAAACTTGTCCCAAGTAATAAACTCTGGTTCTTCCACATTAAAACAACATTTGAATAGGTTAGCTACCTCATGTAAGCTATTCTCATAAGCTCCATTTAGGGATGACAATTTAGCCCATCCAGGCAGGTTCCCTATCCGTCTCGACCCTATTATGACGGGTTTGGGATACTCTTTGAAGGAAGGGAGACTCCTATTGGAGTGCTGAAGTTCTCCCTTATTAGCACTCTTTTTTGCCTGGTTCTAGGGAGAAATTGTAAATCCATGGAGGAGATAGTTTATTTTTTGGACTCTTTAAGAGTTTAGAGGCCCTATTTGGCCTTGTGTAACTTTTGAGTGATGCGTTCCCCTTTTCAAAGCCTCTTTAATACTATCTTACTTATATAAAGTGGTATGGTACCTAATAAGTGAGGGTATTGGGAAGGGTGGACTGATGCTCTGATGCTTGGTTTGTGGCTTTTTTAATGATACTGAGTTAGTATGTTACTGATCTGGGCTTAGTGTAGGTTTTTGTCTTTTATAAAGTTTATCAAGAATAATAATGGGAGTTTGTCATGTCTCATTCTAGTGCTGAAGTAGAATATCATACTCTGGCTGGCATTTATGTTGAGATTGTTTGTAGTAGGCATCTACAATCTCTCTTGTAGACCATATCTCACCCCCCCTCTCTCTCTCTACAATCTCTCTTTCTTGTACACCATCTCTCAACCCCCCCCCCCCCCCCCCCCAAAAAAAAAAAAAATCTCTCTATCTTGTACACCATCTCTAATGTAGGACAAGGGAGAAGCCTTGAATAGTTAAAAACTAAAGAGTTCAGAGACTGAAAGTCCAAAAAACTAGGGCTGAAATTTGGAGGTTCAATAGTAGAAATGTAGAAAAACAAAGGAGAAGTGGCTGGAAATTCAAATAAACAGATTGGTTGAGAGAAAGGATTGAAAACAAGAAAAAACCTATTGGAATCACTCCAACAGGGCCTGGTTATCACACCTAGAGAAGGCTTTACACCCTCAGAATTTGTGAATCACTCACAAAGAAACTTCAAAGGATATTTTTATTCATTCATTGACTGAGTAATCAGAATTACATAGTATCCTTTTTATAATAAAGGATGACACTTGGATTATCCTACAATGGAGGTAATCAAAAGTTGACTCTAGCTTAATAAAGTAACAAATAACTTAATTGATGCAATTTATCAAAACAATGCAATTTCACAATAATTAATGCAATTACCAAAATAATGCATTTTGACCAAGCCCATTAATTATGCAAGACTCCAAGTGGACCCCCCATCGTCTAGCATGTGCCAAATTAAGGTTTAAGCTCTAGAATCCTCTTTCCCACGCCTTTTATACATTTTAAAATGCTGCTGCCACTCATCTCTACCAATTCTCTCCGGCTTGGAAAAATTCGGCTCCAATGAGTTAAAGGGATGAAATTGCCCATGAGTGTGAAAAGAGCAAGAAAATTTCAGCCTTATATTCAGCAATTTCCATAAATTGCACCAAAAACAATGCATAAACTTCAGAGCTCGATCAGAAACAATAGTGTTGTGCAACCCATGAAGTCGGACAACTTCTTGAAAAAGTTTTGTCATTGTGGACAACATTGGAGGTCTTAGAACATTGAAGAAAATGCACCTTTTTTGAAAAACAATCCAGAACAATGATTATAGCATCATGTCCTCGACTAGCTCTAGGCAACCCCAGAACAAAATCAATATCTGACCCATCACCTCTGATACCAACTCCATGGCCAGTACCATGTCGAAAATCAAGGCTATCCTTCCATGAATGTATTCGAGTAAGAACATAAAGAGCAACCCAGTTGGTTCCATCTAGGTACTGTGCTCCCTAATCGAATAGACAAATGTTGTTTGGATCAAGTCCTAAACATGTTTTCTCCTCTAGTTTATAATGCATAATTGCTGCATTAGGACCAACTGAGGAAATAGTAGGAAAACTTAACTCTCTAAAATGGTCTTTTGATGCGCGAGACCCCTCTAGCTTATCACTTACAAGATTAGTTTCTTCTGGCAGTTGGTTTTTCCAGACCTCATCTACCAAGTTGGTGGTTGCTTGAACCAGCTTCTGTTGCTTCTTGGAACAAGCATGCTCCCATTTCTTTGTAGTGCCCACTAATATACACCAAGTATCTACTCCAATAGCCGCATCTTTTGGCAGATTCGGAATAGAAGTACTATCTATTCAAGCCACTTTGAATGGTTGAGAACTTTGGTTGTGCACATTGTTAAGGCGTCGTCTTAGAGATGTCTTTTTCGGGCATTTCTTTCCATTAATGGCAAAGTGCTGGAATATCCATTCATGGGTATGGATATTTTTGACATTTCATCATCCATTAATGGCAAAGTGCCGGAATATCCATACATGCACAATTCAAAGTGATAATTAAATGCTAGGGAGGTATTTGTACAACTTTGTACAATTCATCATTTGCTTTTTATTTATTTTTTAATTATTATTTTAATTTTTATCTACAAATCTGGAATAAAATTCCTTATATTCCATCTTTATTTTCGGACCAGTGGCTTCCTCATTTCAGGTACAATAATTTTTTAAAAAAATGTTTCTCATTTTGCTATAAAGTATGAAATGCAAAGGAAAAATGTATTAGGTTTTACTTATATAAAAAATAATAATAATGTATTAGGTTTTATACATTTGGGCTACAAGTTGGACTTTCTGAAATTTGCACCATTTTATCATGGGCTCATAATCTAACAAAAATAAACAAAATTGAGCCCTCCAAACTATATCGTTGCTCATTATACTGTTGAATTTGTTGATACATACTGTAACTTCTTGAAATGACTGAATGTTGTTTGATTTTGTCATTCTTCATTACACATGACAAGGATCAAGAGGCTTAGAGATTCTTATAATGTTTGGGCTAAAAAAATAAAAAATAAAAGAAAAAAGTTCAATAATTGAATTGACTGCATCGGGATACACCTTTTTGGATCATCATTTCCTAAGGGTCACTTAATTGATGCTACAGTAAAGTGCAAAGTTGATGTTTCTCCTTGTCAAAGTGAAGCATGGAAGTACTGATTATTTTGCAACAATTATTCAGCTACTCATTAAGCACATCATATTGAGGATTTGGGTTCCAACTTCCATGTGCAGTCCTAGAAGTTACTTCTTGGATCATTTATAGTCACCTGCTTTTTAATGCTTTTGTAGGTTTCTCTTGGTTGGGTTAGAAGCACTAGTTAGAACTTGGAAGTTTATAAACAGTTATATTGATTTAAATCCTTCCACCTTCTGTATCAAACTTTTGTTTATTCTCAGTGTACTTCAGAGGTCAGTCCCGGAGAAGTAAGAAAACAAAAAGTAATCTATGGTCATTATTTTGTCTTTTTGGGTGGATGACCAACCTTAATGTCTTTGTTTTCTTGTTTTATTCTACTGTGTTGCACTAAGACATACCTGGTCTCTGCTTTTCATTTATGTTCCATAAGGTGTTTGAATCCATTTTGACCCAAGTTTCAAGAAGCAAGAGGGTATAAGATTGAAGAATGAAGGGAGAACTGTAATAACATCACATAAAGGGTCTGAACAAGGAGTTACACGATTGGCACGTCTCTCCTTTTTCTTCCCTTGTTATTTTTCTCTCCCAAACAATACCATTTTTACAACTTGATTCTCTCTCACCTCATCCGTATAATTCTCTCTTTGTGTGTGTGAGTACGTGCGTGGTTCAAAGGTGTCATTGTTTGTATTGTGTAAAAAATTCCAAGATATTAAGGTAAATTATTCTATTGGTAAATTTCTTTGATGCAAACTTTATTTTATTTAATTATTTTTAGTAAGTAAATCACACGCACAAACACCCATCTGTCCCATTGGGGACTCAACTCTCAACCTTCCAGATGGAAGGAGGAGATACCACTTGGTAGTAATGTAAACTTTTTTTATTTTTTATAATTGAATTTTAATTTCTAACATTCTTGTAGTTGTATTACACTGATAATTCATGTGCCTTGCAAGCAGTTTGTTCTGTGTGCACTGTACTTCTATTATCTGTTCATATCACAGTATCATAATGTTCAAATTTCTCCTGGAATTATGAATGTACAGTGGTCCAAGGGCAATTTCTGTAGTAAATTCTGCATCAGAAAGATTAGGAGGAGCAAGGGTAGTTGCAACAGCTGTGGTTCAAGATGAGGTGCCCAAAATCAAGGACATATTGCGGAGATGGAGTGACGTTGAAAAAATGGATCTCATTCTTACCCTTGGTAAATTTATTGAATTCCAGTGTCCACTTTCTATTTTGAGTATGGGAAATGCATTTATTTGTGTTTCAGTTTACTTTTTTCTTTTGCAACTAACTTTTAAAATTTAGGTGGTACTGGCTTCACCCCTAGAGATGTTACCCCTGAAGCAACAAAAGATTTGATAGAAAAGGAAACACCTGGTCTTCTGTATGTCATGATGCAAGAGAGTCTTAAGGTATTGATAGCTTTATATGGGTTGAACTATGTTCATTCTAAAGTGCTTTTTACTTCATAAAAATTTCAAAACTCTAAAGTATGCAACAGTCGAAGTAAATAAGTTTTCAAGCTTCGGCTTGTAATTTGAAATTAACAGTTCCAAATGCATTTCATGTATTGATTTTTTTTTGGCACCTGTAATGTAGTGTTTGTTTTACAGTAAAATTTTCAATGCATTTTTTGCTGCATAAAATTAAAGCTTGATATTTCTATTTACATGATAAAGCAAAAATTCCAATGATCACCCCGTTATACGATGTTCTTTCTATTTTTGTGCAATATAACCCTTCGCATATGCTACGATCCTTGTCGTTTGAGTAATAAATGTAATTTCCCATTTGTTCATCCAAGAAGATTCGGATATAATTTTGGAATCTGGTGAACTCTTATCATCATCATTCTTGCCTTAATCCCATATGAATGGGGTTGGTCACATGAATTCTCTCTCCAAACTTTCCTATTACAAGTCAATTCACCTACTATATTTAACTTAAAAATCTTTTTTAGTAACCTCATCCCATGTTAATTTTGGCCGTCCTCTCTGTCTCTGACCTTCTATGCACGTCACTAGGTTGGAGTATATGTCCAAACCATCCAAGTCTACTCTCTCGAATTTTTTTACCGATGGGTGCTACGCCTAATTTTCCTCACAGACTTTCATTAGTGACCCTATCTCTTCTAGTCACTCCACTCATCCATCTTAACAATCTCATTTCCGCTACATGAAGGTGGTGTTCTTGTTTCTTTTTAAGGGCCCAACACTCTGCTCTATACAACATAGTTGGTGTAATAAGGTCCTATATAATTTTCCTTTTAGCTTATGTGTTATTCTTTTATCACATAAAATCCCAATAGCTTGCCTCCATTTTGTTCAACCCGCTCCAAATCTTCTAGTTACATCACTATCTATCTCTCCATTACCGAAAGTGGTTGTTTTGAGTAATCCTTTGGTTCTGAAGTTCTATCATTATATTGTTAATATCCGAATTTTTATTAAATTTGCACTTCATAGACTCGGTTTTAGTTTGACTAATTCTCAATCCTTCCGATTTTAAAGCTTTTCTCCACGTGTCTAGTTTTATTGCTAAGTTTTCTTTAGAGATATCCA